CGATATATTATGACATCCAAGGATCTTGGGAAGAACTCAAGGTGAATGAAGGCCAACACCAATTAAAGAACTGGCAGCTGTGACTGTTGTGAACAGATAATATTTACAAGTGATTCTTGCAACTGGAGTTACACAGAAAATACATCAAACAAGATCAAGAAGAAGTTAGCTAAATCAGGTAATCCTTGCTTAATGACTCTTTGGTTTAGAGAGTGTTTGAGGTTACAACAGACCCCCAGAAAGATACTTACGGTCCAGATTCAGAGTGCAAATATCCAGCTCCCAATGTGGTCATGTGAGTACATTTTTGGTGCTCAGCAACCAGTCCACATTTATGACCATTTGCAGCATCCCATTGGTCACAGGAATGCAATTTATAATATTTTTTGCTAGAAATTGACATTTACTTCTGCTCTCTAGCCAAAAACACCCACTGTGAATAACTGGTTCACTTAATGACTCTGGGGTTTGCTTAACAACCATGATGTTCATTAACAATTGTGGCAGTCACTTAATGAGCAACACAAAATATGTAGTAAAATCAAGTCAGTCACATGATGACCACTTAATGACTGGCATGACTTATGATTGTAATTCTGGTCTTAATTACAATCGCAAATTGAGGGCTACCTGTATTAATTAAAAATACCGGAGTCCCGAAAGTATCTTACACTAAACTTAGATTGTAATGTGAAAACTAAAAAATATTCACCCCCAAATTCAAAATCTCCTTCAAACCTTGAAAGATAGATGACTTCAAACCTTGAAAGATAGATGAAAGATAGATGACAGTAAGTTCTACTGCTAATTCTATTATTCACCACCAAAATGAAAAGCTCTGTTTTACAGACTCCATTAATAATGGATTCAATGTAACACTCACCCTTAATCAAATATTTATAATTGTTCCAGCTGCCTGTAGCTCTTAACAATAATCTGGCAGTGATTTTGAATTCAAATAGACTGGATGTTATACATTAAATGTTGTATATTGGAAAGTCCATGTATAATTAACAAGTATTAGCAATTATTAAAAATAATTTCAATTAAAAATACAGTACAATTCAATAATTTACAAATCTCCAGGAAAAAGGTTTTCTGAGTTGGTGCCCTGAGATTTTCAGCTGGTATGCAAGTTTTTTTTTTAAATACAGCCAGTGGATGTGTTAATGGAAACAGCAAACTCAACAGCTTACATGAACCTGAAAGGGGCATCCTAACAAGAACAGTTATTCCCACCCACCTAAAATTTGATCCAATCAATTGCAGCAAAAGAAAAGGACGCGGTAACTCTTTCTGAAAGTCATTTTAAAACTGAAATTATACCATTCTAAATCTACACCAAAGAAACACACTACTACTCCCAATGCTGGGGTGGGAGGGTGGGGTGGGAGGGAGGCAGGGGGGAGAGGGGGGGAGGCATTTATAGTTTTCTATCTGTCCAAAAAGTTAATGTCTCTTGAGCTGCCCTGGAAGTAAAGAATTAGGTCTGGTTTAGGGGCTGTATCTAGTCATCTATTTACTTGGACAATCAAATGATGTCATCTACTCTATATGAGAATGCTTTTCTCCATGCCAGGTGTAATGGGGAAGAGGTTTTTCCTTGTTTTGTCTCGTATAGGCAGAAACAATCCTTGTATTACCAATTTAAGACTTGGTGCAAGTCTCATCTTGCTCTATAGCAAAGGTCTCTAAACTTTGCAACTTTAAGACTTCTGGACTTCAATTCCCATAATTCTTCAGCCAGCAAAGTCAGTGGGGAAGCTGGCAAGGAAAGTTGCGAAGTTTACAGTCCCCTGTTCTACAGCGAGGAAAGGGAAAAGTAGCCACAACAAGCTTCCTTTCCAGCAGTCTAGGTGGTTCCCTACAAGGGCAGCTCTGCAATTTTTTCTTTTTCAGCAGCCAAAGCAGCAGAAACACAAAGGCTGATTAGATAGTAGTTGCATTTAATTACAACTTGGTGAGAATGATTCTTCAGTTGTCCAGGACTATTTCCTTCTTTATAATACGAAACAAATTGCCACAGCTAAATAATAAACATTTATAGAGAAAACTACCTAAACTGCTGCACTACAAAATGTACAGTTACAGAAAGGAAGCTGTAACATGCAAATTAGTTCCATTTGTGCGGTTGCTTCTATTAAAAGTAATTAAATGAAGGCCAGAAAAATTAATATATATATGTAAATTATACCGCTATAAACATAAATAAATAAAAAATACCAAAATTTTGAATGATGCTAACTAGAGATTTGAAACACAGTTTGGCATACAACTCTAGAGTGGTCCCCATGGCAACTTTAGTGTCCATGGGCATTGACTCTAATTTATGTCCACTTTGTAAGGACAGAAAGGTAGAATTATCTCCAAAGAATATCAATAGAGACTCCTCCATTGACTGCCAAAGGCTCCCATTTTAACTGCCCTCTATATCTGAAAGGAATATAGCATGGTGGCTCTCTAAATTAGGACATGAAGTAGCAGCGTAAGAAGTCAACAAATAGCAGCTATTTAAATGTTTGATAATGTGAGTTCATGGGCACTTTTCAACTTAAAGTTGCAATGAAACAAACAACATGTGATTACATTAAACAGGTACAATTTTTATCTCACTAGGACACTATAAACAAAGATAGCATATGTATATGTATGCTATGAATTAAATGCAATGTAAGAATTCAATGCAACTGGGACAGCAGGAATTGCCATTGCTAAGCAGTGCAGTCATACTTTAAATTAGCGACAGAAATTCCAATTCCAATTGTCATGGTAATTGAAGGCTAACTGTACACTAAACTGACCTCATAATTGAGAGCTACTAATACTGCATAGGATTGCTGTGGCTGTATACAATCTTAATCTAGTTTATTGTCTTTGGTGTAAATTTTCTCTATGCAAGCTCAGTAGTTGTACATCTTAGAGAAAAAACCAAGCTAATCTTACAGTTAATGTATAGTCTTAATAGTTGCCACTCCATTTTTCTATTGGAAGTTATCTTGAAATCCTGCCTATATTTTTAATGCTTGTGTTCTTTCCTCCATTTTGCTGTAGCTACTTAAAGTTAAAGGGAATATTAACGTTCACTCATTTTAAAAGAGACTTTTGATTCTATTTATTTCTTGTAAGATTAGTCTCCTTACATAAAAGTAGAGGTGGTTACCCTTACCACAGGCCTATAAAGTCAGAAGAGGTGGTATTATGTCATTCATTTTCTTTTATCATTCCTCCCCTTTTCCTTGCTCCCAGGTGATGGGAGCTCTATCTCTTTTATATGCTGGGTCATGTGGAGGAGAACAGGTAAAGGTATCATTCTGGAAGACAGGAAGTGGCTATGAGAATTGCCAAGCTGCCACCCTGACTCAGGAATTGGACCTAGGATGTGTAAGGCTCAGTTCTGCTACTGTACTTATGTATTTGTTGAAAAGGGGAAAGGAGAAGTGGGGGGGAAGGAAAGGGAAGAAAAAGGAAACCTTAGCCTGTTTCATAATCCTTTATAGTCCATTTTAAGCCCAGTGAAATAAAACTATTCAGCAAATATCACTCAGCTTTCCATAGTGAATTTCATTATCTTAGAAGAAATTAATTTTGCACATCATGTCAAATGCACTTTTCAACCAAATAACTGCTTCATATTGTACTGACAATATCATGAATAATGCAAGATATTTATCAAGGGAAAACAACATGCAGGCTGGAGTTTTGCCTTGAGCTCATATAATGCCTTATATATTCTTTCTGTTGATAGTGGCATTATGCAGTTATAGCTCTGTTTATAAGCTGCAACAAATGGTCCCCTGAATTATGCCATGTTGTAGAGCAAAAACCCTCAAAAACTAACATCCTCACTCCTCCCTGAACAGTACACAATGAAGAAAAATTACAAAATACGATGAGAAAATTCAGTTCAAGCACATGTCAAAGGAAAGATCCTATTCAGTTTTTTTAATGAATGATTTCTGACAACTTAATACAGTATACACTTTCTCAAAAAGATGTTCTTCAGATATGTGGAAGCATATTTTTTGAAACTGCTGGCATACTAGCTGGAAATTCTGCAAATCAGAATCCCAAACAGTTGTCAAAGCACTGGGGGAAAACAGATACAGCGTATACAGCAAGCTTATTTTCTCTTTGACAGCAAACATCAAAAACCTTAATGTCCTGAGTAGAAGATACCATTCTGTACTTGAAACACAGAAGAACTACTTTATTTCTTCTAAGAGCTGTTATTGCACGACTGCTGACAAGTAACTGCTTTTGTAAGCTATTTATATGATTCATATAATGTAGGAGGGCAAATTTCATTGAATTAAGCTGTTCTAAGCCATAGAATAAAGAAAAATCCATTATCTTCTTTCTTGAAATTACAATATTTATCTTGAAACATTTTTATGTTTTATTTGTAGTATATTTACATCCTGCTTTCTTACATCATGGAGGTACATTCTAAGTAATTATTAAAGAGACTTAATCAATTCCAGTAATACATCAGACTCATTAGTTTGTAAATCAAAAATTCAGATTACTAGCAGATCTTCACACTGGCTACAAAGGACTATTTTAGTGCTCCTGTTAGTTGGTGGTTTAAATAGAAAGCTTGGAGATTAAATACAGAATGTAGAATATAATAAACTGTTCCCACTGGAAAATTAAAAAAAGACTATTTTTTGCTGATTTGTGCCTCTCCCAGCTGCCCACCAAAATGCTTCTTTCTATGTGACTTCTACAGAGCAGTTTTTAATTGAGGAAGTTGGGTCAGGGGACTGAAAGGAACAACCATATTTTTCATTCCTCCAACATGTGTTCTGCTCTTGTCTACTCTAGACTTCGGTCAAGAGCTTTGCATAGCAATCTTATAAAGCTATCCATGTTGAAAGCATTAGAGTTTTTCAGTGTGTGAAACATTATCCAATTGTTTTCTGCAGCTGTAACACAGTGTTTAAAAAATTAAACTGGTCAGGGTACAGATTATTTTAAAAGTTCTAAAACATTTCACTTACCTTTCTTGAACTTATGTACTGGAAGTTTCTTAAGCTGATCCTTTTGAAGACGATTCCTTCTTGCTCTGTGTCTGTCCTGAACAAATTTTGTTATCTTGAAAGACAGGGAAAAATAAAATAAGAAAAATATAGGACTACTCAATTTATTTTGAGTTACCTAAAGAAGGAAGTATAATAAAACTATAAAATACAACAGTAAGACTCCTACATGTAAATTCTTATCCAAATCCTCAGTTAACGTAATATGATAACGCTTAAACTTTCAGCAGTTATGAACTGCTAAGAAAAACATTTAGTAACTGTAACACTGTAACACCTACTTCTATTGTTCCCAAAGATGTGCAACACACACAGAGAAATTCAGATCATGTTTTAGATCTTGAAACTGTTTCATTTTTGTTTTTATATTACTGTATTTTTTGCTCCATAAGACGTACTTTTTTCCTCCCAAAAGTGGGTGGAAATGTCTTTGTGTCTTATAGAGCGAATATGGGCAACAGGCAGCAGCGGTGAACGGCGGCAGCGATCCCCGCCACCTGGAACAGCTGATTGGCGGTATTCCGGGAGGCTGATATAACCGCCAATCAGCTGCTCGGAGGCGAAGGCTCCAGCATTCCCAGGTGGGGGCAGCAGACACGGAAGGGGCAGGCTGTTTGCTGCAAGGACGCTAGCCAGATGAATACAGCTGGGAGGCAGAGGCAGATTTTTTTCCCCTTGTGTTCCTCTTCTAAACCTAGATGCACCTTATGATCGGGAGTGTCTTATGGAGCAGAAAATACAGTATATGGTGATATGGGAGCCACCTTGATTCACAGAAGTTCAATAAACCTTTAACCCAACAATTGTCTGCTAGGGATAATCTTACAAAGTCTACCATATAAGTCTGCTTGCTCTTTATATTCGATTTTTATAAATTGGTAGAAAAATAGTTTTATTTATTTATTTATTTTATTCAATTTGTATCCCGCCCTTCTCCTAGTGGACTCAGGGCGGTGCACAGCCAGAACTAAAACACATACCAATACAAAATTTAAAATTTTTAAAAAATTATATGACTTTGGCAATTTAAAACATTCAAACTAAAACCCATTGACAATTTAAAAGGCTAAAAAGGGGGGAGGGGTTCACGCCAGCCCTGCTTGATGGAAAAGAAAAGTTTTTAGGGCACAGCGAAAGACCTGGAGATCCGATATACTTCGTATCTCCGGGGGCAAATCGTTCCAGAGGGCAGGAGCTGCCACAGAGAAGGTCCTCCCCCTGGGGGTCGCTAGCTGACATTGCCTGGCTGACAGCACCCTGAAGAGTCCCTCTCTGTGGGAGCATACTGGTCGATGGGAGGCTATCAGCGGCAGAAGGCGGTCCCGCAAATACCTAGGTCCTATGCCATGGAGCGCTTTAAAGGTGGTGACCAACACCTTGAAGCGCACCCGGAAGACCACTGGAAGCCAATGCAGCTCACACAGGAGAGGTGTCACATGGGAGCACCCCCTCACTCCCATAATCCCCTGCGCGGCCGCATTCTGCAGCAGTTGGAGCCTCTGGGTGCTCCTCAAGGGGAGCCCCATGTAGAGAGCATTGCAGTAGTCAAGGCAGGAAGTGACGAGTGCCTGAGTGACTGTGCGTAAGGAGTCCCGATCCAGAAAGGGACGCAACTGGCGAATCAGGTGAACCTGATAAAAAGCCCCCCTGGCCACGGCCGTCATATGCTCTTCTAAAGACAGCCGTGCATCCAGGAGGACACCCAAGTTGCGAGCCCTGTCCATGGGGGCCAATAACTCGCCAGCGATGGCACCAGCTGGCTATATCGGGACGCCGGAAGCCACAGTCACTCAGTCTTGGAAGGGTTGAGTCGAAACCTGTTACTCCCCATCCAGATCCGCATGGCCTCCAGGCACCGGGACATCACTTCAAGGGCATCGTTGAGATGGCCTGGGGTAGAGATGTACAGCTGAGTATCATCAGCGTACTGATGGAACTCCACCCCAAAGCCATGGAAGATCTCACCCAGCAGCTTCATAAAAATGTTGAACAGAAGGGGCAAGAGGACCGACCCCTGCGGCACCCCACAAACAAGGCGCCTCGGGGTCGACTTCTGCCCCCCTGCCAATACTGACTGGGACCAGTCAGAGAGATAGGAGGAGAACCACCGCAAAACGGTGCCCCCCACTCCCAACCCCTCCAACCGGCGCAGCAGGATACCTTGGTTGATGATATCAAAAGCCACTGAGAGATCTAACAGGACCAGGATAGAGGAGCAACCCCTATCCCGAGCCCTCCAGAGATCATCCACCAACGCGACCAATGCCGTTTCCATGCTGTGCCCAGGCCTGAAGGCGGACTGGAGCAGATCCAGATAGACACCTTCATCCAGGTACCCAGGAAGCTGTCGCGCCACCACACTCTCAACAACCTTCGCCAAGAAGGGAAGGTTGGAGACCGGACGGTAGTTAGCCAAAACAGCCGGATCCAGAGCAGGCTTCTTGAGGAGGGGCCTCACCACCACCACCTCTTTCAAGGCGGATGGCAAGACACCCTCACTCAAGGAAGCATTGATAATCCTCTGGAGCCAGCCTCGCGTAACCTCCCGGGAGGCCAGCACCAACCAGGAGGGACACGGGTCCAATAAGTTTTATTACAGTTTTAGTAATAAGTTGTAATGAAGATTTTATTGTTCTGTGAATCTATGTAAACTGCAACGAGTTGGTGGTATACAAATAGGGTTACATTCATTATAGCAAGCAGATTCAGCTGGTCACTGCCTGACACCTCTTCTAAAGGCCAGTTATTTGATTCCTGGCTCAAAACTCTTTTCTTATGGTTATATTCCAGGTGGGACATGATGTCATGTTGAAACAGGATGCATTACTCTGGTATTTCCACAGAAAATCTCCACTACGCATTCTGATAGATTCTGCTTGCAGCCAGGATGTTTAAATGAGTGTGAAGGACTGCAATCCTAATTGTTCCCTGGCACGTTTGCCACACTCTTTCTCCTGTCATGAGCAATCTTCGTCTCTCTAACTGCTCCTATTTTCTTTTCATATGGAAAGATATGAATGCTTATGCTTCATTTCAGCCTCCAGCTTCTGCATTTGGCAGTATGGATAAGATACAACTACATCTCTTGAATTTTAACCCAGATGTGTTCCGAAAATCAAGAAAGCCTCATACCTACCATAAGTGTAAATTTGTATCAAAATTTATTTTCTCCTGTACATGCATCTATTCCTTCATGGAGACTGACAATAATTCTTCATTAATGGTCAAGTCATTTAACCACTGGGTGCTTTGGATCTTTCAAAGTCAGGCAGGCTTCTTGTGATTATCAACCTACAGCTCAAAGAGTAAGTAAAATCTGTATCCTAAGAGAAGATTTTTATTACCTTCTGATCCATTCTGATATGCTAATATTGAAGTCAGATACTTCATTCCTATTTACAGTCATTTCAGAATCCCATATCAAACAGTACTAATGCCTATGAGGTTTCCTAACCTTTCTATGCTTCTACAATAGTTATTTCATACTTCTACATTCTATGTGAATGGGATGAAAGTTTTCCATATGGCTCCTCTGTTATTTAGACCAAGAAAAGATCTACTAGTTTCACAGAACAACGCTTAAAACAGTCCCTCACAAGTTGAAGGAACCCAAAATCTACTTAGAGGAACAAGAGCACTATGGTTATTAATGATTCCTGCTGAGAGAAACAAAGGCAGCTATGTGGAAGACATGATATAGCCTTGGGGGAGGCACATTGCAAGTCCCTGTATCATTATAATGATCTTGCGAGACCCAGCCACGAATTGGAGTGCATGTGTTTTAACGTTTTTAAAGTTTTTAATGTTTTAATTTTTTTCTTTTTAACATTTATTATGGGATTGTTCGCATTGTTTTATTCTTTGTTGTAAGCCGCCCAGAGTCCCTTGGGAGTTGGGCGGCATAGAAATGCGACAAAATAAATAATAAATAAAATAAATAAATAAGATTGATAGACAGCTGCCAAGACTCTTTAAATCACCGATATGTACCCATTCCTACTATAGGATGTAACTCATTTAAAAGACACAACACAAAGGGAAGAGATGCTGCACTATGCATAAGCAAAATATGTTTGCCCAGAAATTCATGAATCAGAATATAGAAATTCATTAAATATACAGTATTTGGCTAGGAACAGGAGAAGTGAAAAACAAAAAATGTCACCCTTATGCCTGGACAGGTAGAAGGCAATTAAAAAACGTTCTGATCAGATGGCTAAAATTTCAAACAAGCATGTGAAATGTAATTTTAACAAGAATCAGATTGCAAAAAAAATCCTGTCCTCTCTAACTTTATTTCTCAGAATGCAGCAGCAACACGGGTTTTGTTCTGCTGGACCTAATCCTTATCTATATGGAGAAAGTAATTAAAAAGGGGAAGTAACTGGAATCTTGGTACAAAAACATTTTCCTGTATGGTGTCTCGAGACTCCAGGCATAGTATCACTCTTGACCTGTAGCTCTATAGACTGAGTCGAAAACTCTCAACACCAACAGAAAATAGGTGTCTCAGGTAAGACCAACGGCCCTTTACAGTGACATTAACACTCTTATCACTAAACAACAATGCTAGATTCTCACAAAGTCTCATTAGTCAAGCTTATTGAAAGGAAAAAAGGGGGTTTCATTACAAAATCTTGGAAACTGACTGTCATGTTATGTATACAGTACTTAGCTCTCACTCCATCCCAATCCACATCAGTGAGTTCTTTACTGCTCTTTAATGCATACAATGCATTAAATGTCCATCTGGTTTTCTTTTGAAAGTTTTTCAAATTTTCATTCCCATGCTCAGAGAACTCCATAACAACTGAATTCAAAAGAATTTCTTTTAACATTACCAATTGGATGTCAGTGTGTGAGTCTATGGTTTGCTATCATTTGTCCTGTCAAGATGGGCACCTGCCCTACTGCCTAATATTGAATTTAGCAATCATTCAAAAGTAGGATGCAGAAAGTCCAAAGAGAAAAAAAGTTGCCCATTTATAACCCATTCTTTGAACAGTCATATATGCAGTCACACACAATTTGCTGAACCCTATATCACAGCAAGCATTTGAGGGGTTTTCTACATTGCCAGCTGTTTCAAGAGATAGAAGATTCTGAACTAACATGAGGATTCAGGGATGACTAAAAGCATAATCCATAAATAAGATAGCTTGGATAGCTCTGCAGACTAAAGCACTGTAATTTAACACCAGCTGTCTGCAATTAAAATAAGTTCGAATCTTGCCAGGCTCAAGGTTGACTCAGCCTTCCATCCTTTCTAAGGTAGGTAAATTGAGGACCCAGTTTGTGGGGGCAATAAGCTGACTTTGTATAAAATATACAAAAGTATGAAGGCTATTGCTTAACGCACTGTAAGCCGCCCTGAGTCTTCGGAGAAGGGTGGCATATAAATCAATTAAAAAAAAAAAAAAAAAGCATGAAATCTTCTTTTTGCAGCAATTTGCTGTTTATTTAATTTTTGAAGTACTATCGTCCTTGATTATTTTTTAGATATGAAAATAAAATTTATTTCCAGAGAAAAACATCCTTCCCAGTTCAACTTCATGTAGCTAGTACTATTTTAATAAATTTGCAGCATACCAAAAAAATTTTTTTACTCTAAGTACTAGCTATTTTTTGTTCACTTGCTCTTATAAAGGAAATGCATGAATTTTCACAAAAAATGATCCACCGGCCACAAAAAATAAATAAAATTCTTAACAAAGAAAGTCTGATTCATTAAACTTGCATAATAAAACTCTTGTATTCCAGATACATTTGAAAATATCTGGAATTATAGTTCCCTTAACCTGCAACATAAAAAGGATTTTAACCTTTAATTCGCTTCTATATTCTACTATGATATTCAACTTTTAGTCTACTCCAATTCCTAAAACAAACCACGAAAAAGTATTGTGACAAAAACTATAAGCTTCATATGCCATCAGAAGCAACAAGCATATTTTAATTAAAGTTTGGGTTTATAGTATTTGCAAATGAAACTTTGCATGTGGCATGCAGGAGGATTTATATTCATATTAAGTTGAATATAAATACTATCCATAAGGAAGCTCTTCTTAAACTGCTGAATCTGTGGAAACATCAACTGGAGTGAAGACCCAAAAAGCTTTTTGTACATTAGATTCTAATGTACTGTTTATATAATGCCTGCAATATCTTTCACAAAGGCATACACTAAACAATAAACATTAAAATAAACTGACTTCAGCAATAAAAAAATGTGTTTATATATGTAGAGAAAATCTTAAGATAACATAATGAGAAAAGATTATACCTACCATGAATATAACTATAAGGATGAGACAGATTCCCACAATTATTAAGAATGGGATTAGATAATATTCCAAAGGAAGGCTGAACTCTGGAATTAGCACAATATGGCCTCTATGAAAGAAAGGAAAAACAATTTATTGTAAAAATTCTACTTAAAAAGTTGTACAGAGAAGAATATCTGTAATACTGCATATGATAAAAAAGGAAGTCTAAAAATACTTTATTCTTCTTCTGCTAAGACACTTGTTAGTTGGTTTTATATTTCTTTGAAGTTTTAAATTTACAGATCACTTTTATATATGTTCACATACATTGCCCATAAAAGCCAGCATAATTTTTAAATAAAATTGTCTAACTTTAGAAGATAGCTAATATAAAATCCTTGCATAAATTTGTTTAAAATTTGAACACTTTGTCTACAAATTTTGTATAACTTTCACAAGAAAATAAAAAAGTTTTGAAATAAAGATATTTAAATGTTTGTCCATTTCAGCATCAAAAGCGAGCAAAACTTAATATCCTTACACTCAAATTGAATCTTTCGTTCTGTATATCACCATAGTAAATAGAGTTTGTGAAGTATCTTATACATACCCTTTTTCGAAAGTAAATTCTTCTTTAAGAGTTTTCGCAGATGTTTCGCCAATGAAAACTGATGGAATGTCAATCTTCTTTAAAATTTCAACTGTTTTTTTAAAAAAAGACGATAACTAGTAATCACTAGTCCAACTGTGATATTCATTTATTTATTAAATGTATGTGCTACCCATCTCGGCAATTAAGCGATATGCTTTTTCCCTAAAATGGTCTGCATAGTGCTGCAGAAAGTGCCGAAGCAAAGCCAATCGCTTCATCACTGGGCAGCATAATCACATAATAAGTGGCTGCCATTTTAGTGCAACTGCAAGGAATTGGAGCTGCTCTGAATATGGCGGCCACTTTCAGGACCCAGCCATGCAGCCCAGGGGCACTAAGGGATAGAGTGGTCTGCCTTCCTTCCCTGATATGAGGTCCAGAGACTTCAAAGGGTAATTGTGTGATGGGGGAGTGGAGGACCCCAAGCCCTTTGAGGACCTGGTAAGTGTGTGGGGAGAAAGCTCTGTGGAGACACAGTGGAGGGGGTAAAGGCCTGCCTTCTCTAAATGTTTTGATTCCTTACTTAATTGGGCATTTTTCCCACATTAAACCTTCTATTTGTCATGGCATATGACAGATTTTCAAATCTGTCCCAGTTACAGGTTTGTGTTTTTGGAACTGCAGTTCCTTTACAATTGATCTCACCGAGGTGGCCCTCAGTTAATGACCACTCGTTCAGCAACCATTCAAATTTACAACGGTGCTGAATGAGTGGTACTTACAACCAGTGCTCAAAGTTCCGACCATCACAGCGTCTCCATGGTCACATGATTGTGATCTCAGAATTTGGCAACCAGCCTGGATTTCTGACTGTCACATCATTCCATTGTTAATTATAATTTGCTACATTCCCTGCCAGCTTCCCACAAACAAAATGAATGGAGGAACCATCATGAAATTGAAAGTTGCAGTCATGTGAAGTCCTCAGTGACTGACAAGAGATTCATTTACCAATAGTAACTGGGGATTGCTGGAACTGCTGTATCAGTGCAGTCATGTGACATTGTGCATTATGACCACATTGCTTAGTGAAGGAAATTCCAGTCCCAATTCCAATCTTAATGTTAAGTAAACTATCTGTATTCACAGGCTAAAAGATAGAAGAGCGTCTTTGTGTACTTGGCATAATACATCTGTGTTTATTTATTTATTTATTGGTTCGATTTATATGCCGCCCTTCTCCGGAGACTCAGGGTGGCTTACAATGCGTTAAGCAATAGCCTTCATACTTTTGTATATACCTGCTTAGTAGGGCTTTCGCCCCCCCCCCCACAGCGGTGTTCTTTTTTATACAAAGTCAGTGTATTGTCCCCACAAACCGGGTCCTCATTTGATTGTAATGATGTGTCTATGAAGTTCATATTAAAAAAAGAATTTTTTTCTTTTGTTGGAATTCTTATGGGAACAAAAAGATGATATGCCATCACCACTGAGAAACAGAATAGTTTTCAAACAGGAGAGAATTAATACCTGTACTTACTGTCTTGAGATCCCATGCTAATGAGGTCATCAGAGTCAACATTGTGAACAATTGCTGCCTTAAACCCAGCTCTCTGTGCATTCAAAACCTGTATGCCAAACACACTTGTAATAAGTACTTGTTATAGATATGACATTTATATATATATATATGCTTTGTAAAATTATTGTCATCTTGAACTAACTTCTTGTTTTATTTGCGTTCTGTTCTTATATGATACAAACTGTACAAACGTGGGTGATATATATCTTGCCTTTCGCCACCCTGCTAACAATGACTCTTAATATTGGAACTTTGATAAACGTAGTACCACTGAGCACAATACTTTTTCCCATTTACCTATATTTACATGTAGGAATACCGCTGAAACCTCTTTTTGCCCCAAGCAACTTCAGGGTGTTCTCCAAAAAACAAATTAGCTGTTTCCAACATCAGCTTTTTTATTTTACAATTTAATCCAGAATGTAATAGGATCCTGAAACTTGATTGGTTTCACAGTCCCATCCTGGGTTCACTAGATCATGCTCAATATTGAAAGAAAGCAAATATTTCCATAGTTAATTCTACACAACCAATACTATTTAAATTTTACATTGATTCATCCACAAACACTGTCTCAAAGGGTAATAAGCTGCTTTAAAGGACAACCAAACCTTACAGTATCTCTTTCTAGATCTGGTTTCTCTTCAATGGGAGAGAAAATCAGACAAGTTTGTATAAGATATCAGCAATGGTGGGATTCAAAATTTTTTACTACCGGTTCTGTGGGCGTGGCTTGGTGGGCGTGGCATGGCTTGGTGAGTGTGGCAGGGGAAAGATACTGTAAAATCTCCATTCCCACCCCACTCCAGGGGAAGGTTACTGCAAAATCCCCATTTCCTCATGATCAGCTGGTACTCGGGAGGCAGAGAATAGATGGGGGCGGGGCCAGTCAGAAGTGGTTTTTACTGGCTCTTCAAACTACTCAACATTTCCACTACCAGTTCTCTAGAACTGGTCAGAACCTGCTGAATACCAACTCTGGATATCAACCATTTAGATAAGTCTGTAAAGTTACAGAAATAGTGTATCTTTAGCTTACAGTTTTCAAATGACTGTTTGCTGTTCTTAACGGGTGCAAGAAGTCCATTTGAAACCATGACAACACTACAGTAGTTACCCAAATAATGGCTTGTTCCAGAAATGTTTCAAGCAATTTTACCATGTGCTTTCAAAATTAGTACGTTTGAGAGGGTCAGGTTAGCTAAAGTCCATAAAGATAACCAATCATTTATGTTTACAATTTTACACAATTTTATCTAGAAGTAAATCTGAGCAATTCTAAATTATCCTACACAAGATCTAGTGTATGTTCCTAGGCAATACTTTCTTGACCTCTTCCCCATACCCATGCCATTTCTTTTAATACTAGATTTAAAGTAGTATTACTTGTCGTGCAGCAAAAACTGTTGTTATAGGAATTGTGCTTGCTCAAGTCTCAAGTTTGTCATCAGCAGTCTGCAAAAAGCTCAAAGGTCACTCTTTTAGTTTCAAAAGGTACTGTGAGATGGCCAATATATTTATTTATATATTTGTTCAGTGTCACAGAAGCAAAGAGGAAGGCCTTGCTCCTAAATCTTAAAACGAAGGTCTGCCATTGGACAGGCAATGACTATGTGCAAAACATTCCCAAACATGTTTACTCTGAAGTAAGTCTTATCAAGCAGTTCAATAAGCTTTATTCCCTAGTAACCATGTCTGTTTTGGATAATTACTATAGTACCCAAGTTTAATGCAGACGTATTGAAAATTTCAATTACAAATTGTCATTTGCAAATTTTTATAAACTGTATATGTTGTTCATTACACATAATTTCATAAATAAATAAAACAGATTATTTAACATTTGATTATGATCTGTTTAGTTCCTCTTCCTCAGTAAACATTTTATTAGATCCACAGAGTCCTGAATATAATCTACAAAGCTGCCTCCCACATTAGGCTAAATCACAGTTTAGAAGTCCTACACTTCCTATAATCCACAAAGCTTGTTCCTTATTCCACTGTTGTCAGTCAAAAGAAATACTTTAGCAGCATTAATTTCAGTATTCAATATAAAAACAGCTTGCACATAGCAATTGCAATTTAAAACAGATAATAGGGATAGTGAATGAAACTACCAAAGTTTGCAGCTTGAGAAGTGATCAGAATTTATTTCAAACTATACTATCTGATTTCTATGCAACAAGCCAACTGCTTTAGAAAATAAAGCTAGGCTATATCAAAAATTATTCTGGCCATGACAATTCACTGCAATTCATGCACTTTCTCCTAAGCAAAAGTATTGCAGTATTACAAACACAAATATATATTTATTGGAGAAAAGTATGGTTTTCATATACTGTATTAAGACCAACTTATTTATACATTCAGTAGATCTAGCAGTAAGCATTTAGACTATACTGCTTGAGATAGTAAGGAAACGAAAGAATCATTCAGGTAAAATAGTATGGCATTAGGCAAGTACAGAATTTTCCCTCGATTGCTATTGTTTTCTTAAATGTTAAAAGTTTCTAAAAATATTCAAAATCGTTCTCCTCTAGCAGTCAGATGAAGTTACAATCCTGAATGCAATTTAATGCAATTTAACATATGTGTAAACAGCAGCCATTGGGGAAGAGCAAACTTCTGCAAATATTCTCTTTTGCATTTGTAGAGTTCAGCTCTCCCATCCCACCTCCAGGCTGTTCAGAATTCCTGAGCATTGCTATTTAAATAAAAACCAAGACAAAAATGCACTTTTAATTATGCTCATACAACTATTGTGTTCAGCAGGGCACCCTATTAACTGTGGTGGGAGTACACTCTCTTTTTGCATTCCACTTTTTTAACAACATTACTAGTCATCTGCCAGCTTGCTATTTTATTAGCACTGCTCTGAAATATGTGAATGGCACATACAAAGTGCCCTCAATCATATGAACATACTGTCTATGCACCTATGTTTTACAACACTTGCCATTTTTCTTTTTACACTTGCTTTAGTTTATAAACCACAACAATAGATTTTGTCCAAGCCACACTTCTACGTGTTAGGAATTGTGATATACTTGGAAGTGATTAGAAAAATTGGAATTAAACAGAATTTCAGATCCTGGATTATTTTTACTTGAAACGGGAAAGTAATGTTGGAGAGGGGAAAATAAGCCTAGGACTGGCAAATGTATTAATTTTAAGAATATATCGCCTTCACCACCTCTGTTCACTAATCTCAGAAAGCCATGTACATGTTCAGCATGAACCAGCTGTTTTAAATTCTATCTAAATTCTATATTTTAATGTGTAAATTGTGAAGCCCCTAAATTCTCTTATTTCTAGGCAGCTGCATTTTACTGTAGTTTAAACTCTGTCTCAAGAAGACCAAAAGAATGAAGCAGTTGCATTCTGGAACAAAGCCTAGTGCCAACTCTTACACTTCTGAAAATATAAAGAATGTTATTTCTTTACAAAAGTTTACAGTACAGGTTGCTGGTACCCACAAGAAAAAAAAGTTGCAAGCCCGGCATTAAAGACATTCAAATATTGCACATTAAGTAATTGCAGAAGAAAATCTCCAGAAAAGGAGTTTCCTCCCACAATGCTTGATATATAAGAGAAATTGGTAGATAGCCCCAAAACCAGTTAATTAAAAGTTTTTTAGGGAAATTTAACATTTTCTGGCAATCTGAATGCTATTATGTCTAAGAGAAAAATAGAAAAAAAAGAGAATGATTTTCTGTCTTTTTTAGAGTGGGTTTCTGTGTATTTTAAATTGCATTGTCTTATAGTTTTCAATGTGTTACCTGTCTCAAAATAATGAGACATAGTTCCAACAATTTTCAGCAAGAAGAAATTTGGGGGGCAACTTGCCCAAATTTGATTTATGCATATGGACTCAACAGTGTGACTCTTTTCAAGCAGCGTATTTAAACATAATTTTGAAGCTTCAGAAACTCCAATACAATGTCTAAATTGAAGACATGAAAAGTTGCTTACCTTTATATCAAAATTGCAGTCAAGTCTTCTGATTAATACAATGAATTCACGGGATGAGTTATCCTTCAGAGGTGGAGGAATTATAGGCTCACAGGCATTCTCGGGTTTTGAATTTATTAGGAAGCCCTGAAAACCAATTTCAAAAGATACGATTAGCATCTTGACATAACATGGGAAAATTAACAGATTTTTTTTTTTTTTTTACAGTTCTGGTGGGTTGTGCAGTATAAATAAAAACGTAATATAATTAACAGGAACTATAAAATAGCAGTGCAAGTCCCATATTCATTACGAATAAAGTAATTTTGATGACTGCAGAAAGATAATGACATTTCTTTGCAAGGAAGGTATTCCAAAGCCTGAAGGAAGATTGCAACCATGCCTCCTCCCACAATCAGGCTAGTAAACTTGCACAATAACTCACCTGGTGACAAGTCACAGACCAGGAAAAATCAATCTGAACTAACCAGTCCCTCCAATTACCCAGTGCTGCTTTAGAACAGTTTAGACTGGGCTTGGAACTTTATAGATAACCAGTGCAGCAACCAAAGAGTAAGTATGACTCTGTGAATGCTTGATTGCTGTGGTATCTATCAATTGCAGTTTCTCAATTTCCTTCAATAGCACCCTCATTTATAGTATACTGCAGAACTGGAAGTATACAATGAAAGTATGGTTGATTGTCATCAGGATTTCATGATCCAGGAAAGGCAGAAGCCACAAGTCAAGGAGGACTGACTTACTTTTGAGGAAGGAAGGGAGCTTGGCCCACAGCTATCACTGTAATTGAATCAGAGCTAGCAGTTCCTGAAAGTACAGTACTTCCACCTTGCTAGGATTTAATCTGAGCTTGTTTTACCCCATCCAAGTTCTAAGAAACAATTCTATACCTTCAAATAATCTCTAGCCTGGCCTGGCCTGGCCTGTGATGTATACCTGAATGTCATTAGTATATTGATAATTACCGGTAATACGATTAACATGTTATACTGACATCTAAAATACATCAGCCAAATATATGCAGTCTAAGAAGGTAATATAAACATAACATCCCATTCAAAATATCTGAATTGGTTTTATTTCACAGAAGTTGGTATGATACCCTCTAGTGGATAGTTTTAGGTGGTTAGCTGGCATTAGTTTTTTTTTTTAAAAAAGGCAGTAGCTCTGGCTTATGTTATTATGGAATTTCAGCTCTTGGGAGATAATTTCTTATAGTATGACCCAGATTGGAAAGAGAGCAGCAGAATCAGAGAAAGCCATCTGACAAATCTGTTGTACACTCTCTGTACTCTTGGTTGGGAAAGAAAAAATATTGTGCTGGAAGGAGGACACCCAGTATTCCTGTACTGTACAGCTGCCTTCACTGTGCTATCAATTACATGATGTTCATAATGCAAACTGCCGTGGCCAGGAAACTGCCCTTGCAACACTTAACAACTGTGTGATTCTCCAAATAAGCACTAATATTATTTAATCTCTAGTACCAGTTGCTGAGAAGGGGTGCTCTTCTAAAGATTCCTTCATGCAGCGCAATAGAAGAGAACTTGTTCTATCTGTTTTACAGAACTACATCAACATTTTAAAATCTAAATTATAAAACTTCTAATACAAAACATGGCAATTAGTTCAGTTTACTTATGATTGCCTGTTTTAAATTCTTCTCTTTGGGATAAGAAAAATGATGGAAGTTTCATCTAAGTCAGTCAAAATTCTTAATGGGCAAAGATGACATTACTGTTATCAGCATCCTTTGCCAGGTAAGGACGAAATCAGAATCCTAATATCCTAAAGTCCAATACAAATTAAAATTAATCAAACGTCAAGGTACAATATAACTTATAATGACAACTTTCAAGGGTAATTGAGCTATGCTTCCAACTCTACTTCACATGGGCATTGATCCAGCAAACCACTTAAGCATATACTTAAATACACAGATAGGTATAAAAGTTTAAGTTTTAAGCATATATTAAAAAGCTTTATTGCAGCCTGCCAATTTTATAGTATTTTAAGTGCATTTTCATTAATGCATTTTAGGTACTTTCACCAGGAGCAGAATAAGAATTTTTTTAAATCTTCATTTTAAATATATCTCTTGAGAAGGGAAAAACATAGACCCTCTCAGGATCCTTGGCCCTATCGGGTATAATCACTAGAGGAGGATACAGTACTGGTATACAGTACTAATCAAAGCTTAAATAGAATGGTCCTTTTACAGGTAGTCCTCAACTTACAACCACAACTGGAACCGGAACTTCTATCACTAAGTGATGCAGTCATTAAGTGAGTTTCTCCAAATTTTACCACCCTTTTTGCCACAGTCATTAAGTGAACTTTAACTTTCTATTGCCTAATTCTTGAGACACAGGATTCAACTCGTCAGATAATACAGTTCAAATTTGCCTACCTTTCAGATGTATTTAATTATACCCCTAATATATAATTGTTAATTATTTAGTTGCTTCTGTGACACAATGGACATCAGTTCACCAGGACTGTCTATCAATAAGTTCTCCTTTCAATTCTTGCTAGCTCAATAACAGTATTTTTCCATCTTGTTTTCTGTCAGCCTTTTCACTAATTGTTTCTGATTCAACAAGCATTGGGTCTTCCCTAGTTACTCTTATCTTCATGGTATAGGTCCAAAATATTGAACCTTTACCTTCATCTTCCTGTGAGCGCTGTAGTTTTAAAGAGTACTGAAATATTTAGTTGTGGCTTGTTGGCCACCAGCCCCTCCAGCTGCTGAATCAGATGAGGCGGCGTGGGAGTCAGGGTCAGCAGCTGAGAGCTCCAAGGGGGAAGAGGGAATGGAGCTGGTAGGGACACAGACAGAGGCAGAGCCTGGGCCATCCGTCAGCCCTCAGATGGAGAGTCAACAGCCCCCAGGTCTGGAGATGGCTAATGAGGAAGAGGAAAAACTGGGTCCAGTGCCTGACACGTGGATACACAGAAGGCAGAGGAGAGGAGAGCAGTGGAAATCCGTGGGCTGATCCTTGGGAAGGAAGAGCTACCGCTGCTAGTGAAGCCCCAGCCTAGCTCTGAGGATAAAAGGCAGGGGGCGGAGATTAATAGACTATTCATCTCCCTGCCAGACAGACTTATTAGCCTGCGGTGAGAGAGAAACTTTTTGCTGGGGCTGCTTAAAGGAATCATTGATTTAACTTCACAGAGTTTGTCGTGTTTGGGAAACTGGGTCAAAACATATTTGTTCTTAACAGTCCAAAGTATTCTCAATTTTCCCAATATTACAATTCAAAAGTGTCATTTTTTATTGTTCAACCTTTCTGATAAACAAACTTTCAAAGTAGCTTTGACAAGACTTGAACATTGGGCGCTATCTAACAAAATGAAATTCAACAGTGAAAAAAGCAAGATTCTACATTTGGGGAAGAAAAACAAAATGCACAGGTACCATATATGTGGTACCTTGCTCAATAGTAGTAACTGTGAGAGGGATCTTGGAGTCCTAGTGGACAACCATTTAGATATGAGCCAGCAGTGTGCAGCAGCTGCCAAAAAAGCCAACACAGTTCTGGGCTGCATAAACAGAGGAATAGAATCAAGATCACGTGAAGTGTTAATACCACTTTATAATGCCTTGGTAAGGCCACACTTAGAATATTGCATTCAGTTTTGGTCGCCACGATGTAAAAAAGATGTTGAGACTCTAAAAAGAGTGCAGAGAAGAGCAAAAAAGATGATTAGGGGACTGGAGGCTAAAACATATGAAGAACAGTTGCAGGAACTGGGTGTGCCTAGTTTAATGAAAAGAAGGACTAGGGGAGACATGATAGCAGTGTTCCAATATCTCAGGGGTTGCCACAAAGAAGAAGGAGTCAAACTATTCTTCAAAGCACTGAGGGTAGAACAAGAAGCAATGGGTGGAAACTAATCAAGGAGAGAAGTAATTTAGAACTAATGAGAAATTTCCTGACAGTTAGAACAATTAAAAAGTGGAACAACTTGCCTGCAGAAGTTGTGAATGCCCCAACACTGGAAGTTTTTAAGACGATGTTGGATAACCATTTGTCTGAAGTGGTATAGGGTTTCCTGCCTGGGCAGGCAGTTGGACTAGAAGACCTCCAAGGTCCCTTCCAACTTTGTTATTCTATTCTAAAGTAAATGTTTCATCTAAAAAAACCATCATCTTGACAAAACATATTTTTGCTGTTGGTGTGATATCTTTGCACTTTAGCATTTTGTCTAGATTTGCCATAGCAGATGACACTTTATTTTATGAATATCACTGTGAATCTTTGATCCTAGGAAAATGAAGTCTGTTATTACTTCAGTTTCCTTATTGTCTGTTCACATTGGGCTGTCATTGCTTGTTGACAGAATCTTTTTTAAAAAAAGAAATATTGACCAGCAGACTGGCTTTTATACTCTTTTACTTTCAATAAGAGTAACTTCTTGTAGTTACTTCCACTTTCCTTTTATCCATCAAAATGGCATCATTAGCATATCTGAGGTTGCGGCTGTTTGTCCCAGCAACCTTAATTCCAGTTTCTGTTTTTTCTACTCAGGCACTCTGCATAAACATCATTTTTTTAAGAAACCACAGCATACGATTTTGGCCTATTCCTTTTCCAATCTTGAACAATGTAGTTGCTCCATATTCCTTCTAACAGTTATTTCCTGATGATCACATAAATTATTCAACAGGTAGATGAGGTGATCCAGTGTTTTTAAGGTTTTTTGTTGTGGTTTGTAGAGTTAAAAGCAGTTATATAATTAATAAAGCAAAAAATAATAATAATGTATGCTTGAAACTCTCGCCTTTTCCATTATCCATCAGATGTTTGCAATATAATATCAGATGCTTCTGCCTCTTCTGAATCCAACTTAAATATCTTGTGGCTCTTTCTGTGCATGCTAAAGCCTGGATAGGAAAAAAATTGAGCATTTTCTTACTGCCATGCGAGATAAATGCAATTTGTGCTTTGAGCATTCTTTAACACTGTTCTTTTTAATATTGGAATATTTTCCCCCGGTATCAGTCTTCAATCAGCAAACTGTTAGTATTTCAACCAGATCATTTTAAAGTTACCTTGAGCCAGAAGATGGATGGCATATAAATTTAATCAATAAGAAAATAAAATGAGCTTTAAACAGTTGACTGATATTTCATCAAATCTCACAACTCATTGTTAGCAATATTTCCTAGTCCATTTCACTTCATTTTCCAGATCCCTTACTCTAGTTCAAAATACAAATGGGGGGGGGTGAGGAGGAGGGAGGGAGAATATTTCACCAATGGGGATGCTCTCATACAATTTTTCCATATATTTCTACCATCAATTCTTTATATCTTCTTTCTTCAATAGATTGTCTTCTTTGCTTTTTACAGTGTTTCTTCTTTGCATGAAATTTGCACCAAATTATGTAAACCTGTTAAATAACTTGTACTTCCAGAACAATTATCCTCAATTTCTTTGCACTGCTTATTTAAATATACTTCCTTACCTCTTGCTCCTCTCTGGAACTTAGTGTTTGGTTTGGTAAATTTTCATTATCACCTTCTACCTTTTGCCAGCTCTTTTCACTATACTGGCAAACAGACATTTCATCTTCTTTTTGTTTTTTGCCCATTTAAGGTATTTTTGTTTATTTCATCTTTAATGATGTCATTAATTTCAAAACATAGTTCTTCAAGCACTCTATTTATCAAGTCTCAATCTATTATCTTCATTGCAGTGCAGACTACTGATAAGATTTATCTTATTGATCAGTTTTGGTTTTTTTAGTTTTCTAAGAATTATTTCATGATCTGAACCACATTCAGCCCCAGACCTCATTTTTGGTGTATGAAGAGAGTTCCTCCATCCTTGCTTGCACATTACATACTTAATTTGATTCCAGTATTGTCCATCCTGTGACAAATGTATTTATCTTGTTGATTTCTAGTGTATTTTGCTATAAACTGCTAAAATTTGGCAAAACAGTTTTTCCTGTTAGTGCAGATGCTATTTGACTCCAATTTCAGCACTCCATTCTTCTATAATATAATATCATTTGAGGATGTTTTTGCTGATCCTAGAATGTCAATGTGGTGAATCCTGATACTTCTGTCTGAAGTTCGCCTTAATTCATGTTACTGAGATATGTACAAGTCCTTTCATTGATACAAGGCAATATTCCCTTGATTGACTGATTGTTTATGTGCTATCAAGTGGTTTTCTATTCCTACTGACCACACAGATTTTCTCTCCATGAACCAAGAGAACATTTTCTCATGTTCCAAGAGATGGCCTATATATTACTTTAGACAATAATTCAAGAACTCTTTGGTACAAGCTAACAAATTTCTGATGCATTTTACAGCATTAGCTGAAATACAGCCTGACAACTAAAACATTATATTTACCTTGAGATGCTAATTTGCCAATTTTCTTGCAATTACTTTTGAAAACAAATGACAAGGATCTCAGTCAATACCAAAAGAAACTAAAGCATTCTCAGAATACATCACTCTAGAAAATATAGGTACAGCATTCTGCAATTCCTTTTGATCTTTGCATAGCTATTGAGCTGCGTGGTGCAGTTGTTAAATGCAGTACTGCAGGCAACTTCTGCTGACTGCTAGCTGCCCGCAATTTGGCAGTTCAAATCTCATAGGGTCAAGGTTGACTCAGCCTTCTATCCTTCCAAGGTCGGTAAAATGAGGACCCAGATTGTTGGGGGCAATATGCTGACTCTGTAAACCACTTAAGAGAGGGCTGTAAAGCTCTGTGAAGCAGTATATAAGTCTAAATGCTATTGGTATGCTAATGCTACTGCATATTATGGCCTATAAAGAACCAAATGCTTCTGAAAACAAGCATATTTGGCTGTACATTGGCAATTTAGACAACAGAATTCTCAAGCTGTTTATTCTAAGCAATACTGCCTTTGCAACTGTTATCAAAGTAAGTTAGTACAGACTTTATAATAACTAACTGTTCTACTCAAACCAAGAGAAAAAGTGCAACAGAAAATTAGATGCATTATTTGTTCTTAGTTGAGAATATGATATTTGATAGGAATATCACTGGAATATATACTGACCCAATGCTCAGTATGGCTCTGAAGACACTGCACAGGAGCTGAGAGTTCCTAATCAATAGACTTACATTCAGAACCTAGTTTCTGATTTGAAAAGTAGTTATGTAAAAGATTGTAACAGGCGTCATGTTATCAAGGTCTAGTCTATAGCTGGAACAGTTAGATTGCTTGCTCACAAAGGCAAGGTGATGGAGATTATGGGACATTAGAGAAAACTGTAAAATATACAGAGGCTTATTATTTTCCCTTTTACTATGATGATCTGCGCAACAATCCAGTCAGAGAATCAAAATTTAACACAAATATGCTGAAGATGTTCATTAATACAGAGATCTAACAAAATAGTTAAGATTAAAAGATGAGGCACTCAGTTATATATGGATTAGGTTACATTACCTCAAAGCACTCAATTAGCATTTCAAATGGCAAGAACTTAATGTTTGTTTAAACAAGAATTCCCAAATTTCTCTTTCAACAGCAAGTGACAATTTGTATAGTCAGTAAATTACCATCAGGTAAATTACCATTTAATAATCTTTTCAAATTATTACTTCTTACCTTCAAACCTTCAGTAGGCAACCTATAACCAAATCTTGCTGGTAAGTCATCAAATGTCTGTGTTGCATTTTCAAAATTAAACTATAATACACAAGAAACACAAAAATATATATCATGTATTAAACTGCAAAATTAGCCATATACAATATAATTTCATAATTGCATAGAATTCAAATACATACTCTTGAGTTAAACAACAATCTTTGCAAGAGGATTGTTACAAAGTACAGATCAAGACACTTCTAATTTTGAAATTTTGAAGCAGCCCAAATATAAGATCCATTTTGCTTTTATCTATTAAGGCTGATATTTAAACCAAATCCATGAATAACTGTAGAGACTGTAAACTAGTTTCCTTTTATGGAAAGTCAGAGTCAGAAAGTCCAGGGAAGGGAGGAAAAACTCAACATTTAGAAATTCAGTTAGTTTTTTGCTTCTATTCTGTTTGCTGCACCAAAAAAGGGAATTAACAATCATATAAAACTTACTTAAATTTTGTATATGACTTTTTCAATATGAAACTAACTTAAACATAAACTAGAGCAAGTTAAAATTGTTACTTACAGTGCATTTACAGCACTGAAAACTTATCAGTGGAGAATACATGAAACATGGAGAAATCTAAGTACTAATTTTTGTTGAGACATACTGAAAATATTTTATTAAATATAAATATTCTGTACTAAGACTTGGCTTACATAGCAGGCATTGAAAAAACAAACCACAGAAAGGAGCAATAGAGATTCTTCTGAGATAAAAGGTATTGGAGAAAAAGACTTCTGCAGAGATTGCTTGATAAAATATGGGTGCACACTTTGACCCACAGATTGATCCCTGTGTGGCTCCCCAACTCATTACTCATATATCATATGTTGGTCATAAGTTACATAGTAACTTAGTGCTTTTAAGACTGTTGGGAGAAGATGGAAGGCAATTTATGAAAAATAGCGAATGAGTTGAATAAAAAAGTGTGTGTGTGCTTTTCTGTGGATACATTCACCTGCTGTAAGCAAGCACAGTTTCTACTTTGTCCTAATAGCAAAGAGGCCCTCAACTCAGGCTAAAACTATTTGGCCATTGACAAGTTTGTGCATCTGTGGAACAAGGCTTTGGAAAAGCAAAATTGAACCGAGGGCCACAATGACCTTTGAATAATGCATTAGGGTTAAATGCTAAATGGGATAGAGCCATTCTGCAAATGAGTGAAGTCATATCAGATTCAAAAGATGGGCACAGGATTTTATTTTTTTATGAAGGCAAGGAGGTTCATAAAAGGAAATGCAAGAAGGCGGGAAAGACAAGGGAAAGAACAAGCAATATAAAGGATTATTGCTTAATGGGAAGCAAGATGAAATCATGAGGTAGTGGATGTTATAGATAGTTTAGATAGTGCAGACCAGTGGAAAATGTAAGTTAGGATATGTGCTATGAAAAATTTAGCCATAGGATCTGGTGAAATACTTGAGTCTGTATCTAACATGCAACTAACCTAGGTTTAAAGGGTTGGAGAAGAATATTGAAGAATATTCTTTTTGAAGAATATTTTATGCTATAAAATAATTATAAAACTTACCGCTAAGATATCAGCTTCTACTGGCAATAGGTTTAAAAAAGCAAACAGCTGAACTGTGAGAATAGTATAAATCTGAGTGGCAGACATCATTAACATTCCTATTGATAACAGCATCTTAATGAAATTCCTGAAAAGAAGAACAAAAAAGAGAATCAGGATATGAAAAAAGCATTGACTTCTCCTTCTTCTTCTTCACTTCCTCTTTTACCCCTTTGGTGTTGAAGGAGTTACAAGGTTCTGGCTCTTGCTCTTCTTGCAGCCTCAACCATTGTTAATTGATGTTGTTGTAAAAGCATTCACACTCTGATCTAATTGAAACATGTCATCACTAAAGTATAAAAAATGCTTTAAGGTGATCCAATTATAGCCACAAGTTATAAAAGCAAGCTAAATATCCGATTGTTAAATAAATAGCACAGTCTAAGAAGCTATTGACAAGGGGTATTTTAAGAAGCACAGGGTGATTTTAGATTTAAAGGTAAAAACAGCTACTTTATTATTTTACTTAATAGTATCATAACTCTTTATCTTTACAGTCATGAAGTATGATTGCATTAGGTATCACAAATAACAGTGCAGTAAATGTAACCCTGGTTTAACGACTATTTACAGTTATGATGGTGATAAAAAAGTAATATTGTGACAAATCCTCACATTTATGGTCTTTGCAAGCCTGTAAAGCAAAGAAATGTTGAAGCAAGATCAGAAGTGCAGTCATGGTGTCAGTTAGCAACTGCTTTGCTTAATGACAGAACTGCAGGTAACAGTTGTGGCCATTAAACGAGGACTACCAGCATGTTACTATTCCTGAATTATAAGGAAAATTTTATCACAGATTTTGTAAAGGCTAAGGTTGGCAAGGTAGGAACCAAAGGTTTCCAAGCCAGAGATGGTCGCTATGCAAGCATGCAGAAACTGTGCAGACCACCAAGTATTTATGCCAAGGATCAGTCAATTCATGAAGGTAAGAAGAAACCTATGTTTAAATCCCTAAAAGTATATCTTTGCACTGGCAGTGAGAGGGCAATCATGGTTACATATGGCTTTGTGTGGAATAAGCATTCTAACGTAGCCGAGATGCATTTATTTTACAAATGCACATCGCTACCAATCTTAATTAAATAATTCTAAGCGGCTAACAAGTAATAAAAACAAGCACATTAAAAAACAGCAATAACAATAAAAGACTACCGCTAAAATAACCGATTCTTCAATCATCACAAAGCAAAACACATACATTGGATTCCACTATCATTATGACACCCTTTTTAAGGACATCTGAAGGGCCAATAGGGTTGGGGGCCTTCTGAACCTCAGTGGTGGGAATGTTCCATAAGGCAGGCACTGAGACAGAAAAGACATACCTCTTAGGTCTCATAACATTGTTTCACAGAAGGAATCTGTCACATGGCCATCTTTTCAAATCAAGTAGATTTGATACATTGGCCACCAAGTATCCTGGCCAATGGTGAAATCTAAAATTTCTTACTACCGGTTCTATGGGCGTGACTTGTAAGTGTTCAGCAATAACCCTGAAGAAGAAATCCAAGAACTACTCAGTAAATATCAACTCAATCCTGGGAGAGATGAGGCGTGAAACAAACTCAAGGTCAGCTCAGTTTTATTCTGTTTTGTGAGAAGGGAGACAGAGGAATACTCTGGGAGTCTTTCAAAAACCTGTTATTATACCCTATAACAATAAAGTAGAGTCCTAACCAGATCTAACCAAATACCACCTTCACTATCAATCCTTGTAAATCAGTTTTAACAACTAGGAATCTGCCAGCCACCACTTAATCTTGTATGTGTTTTCTCCCAAGCCAAGCCAAGATGCTGATCTAAGCTATAAAGTAACATCTTTTTTTACTGCCTATCCCATATTGGGAAACCTGACAGGTTTATCTAATTACAGCCTAGATCCCATAATCTTTGTCCCATAGGCATATCAAGAATTCTGAAAAGTTAATTTGAGTGCACTTACAAAGTGCCCTTACAAAACAGCTTTCTTGATTAGTCACAAAAGATGCACTTATCCAAAAGCAAGTTGGCGAGAATCTCTTGAGCCTTTCCTTATTAATATTTCATTTATCTAGGCAGACCTTCACAGAACTAAACACTACAGATGTTCTTAGGGCTTGCTGAAAATTAAGACAAGTTGGAGACCATAGCTTTTCTCTTGATATTTAAATATTGACTTCTTTTTTAAAAAAGGAAGCACTCCAAACATGATTCATTAACCTGCAAAATAGTGCTCCATAATTTGCTAGTCCAAATAACAATGCAATATATTCAAACTTCCATAACTTATATTGAAGGCAGTCAGATACTCATGTCCGTCTTTTACCTGATTGAGATTGTAAACATGTCTAAAGATGCAGACATTCTGCAGCTGGTCTAACAGGTCTGATATTACAGGAAGTGGGTAATGATCATGTCCTTACTAAGATCCTTGTAATCATGAATGGTGTGCACTTTTATGTTTCTTTGCAATGAAAAAGACTGGGGCAGAGGCTGGGGATTTACGGGGAAATCTTAAAAAGAGATTTAGCAGACCTTCAAGGTATTCCTTTAAAACACTAAGCTGTTTGGTATACATGGGATAATGTCTTTTGCCTGGGATTTTTGCTCCAGGTTTCAGCTCGATTGTGCAATCACAGCCCCTATGAGGTGGAAGTGTAGGGGCCTCCTCCTGCTCTCCAAAGTCATCCGCAAAATCAGCATGTTTAGTAGGTATTCCACTTATTCTGGCTGGATGCTCACTATAAACACCAAGGAGAGCATGGAAGTAGTTGCTCAATGGAGAGGAAAAAGAGATTGCTTGAGTCATCCAATCCACTTATGGTTTATGGAGCTGCACCACAGGCACTTGCAAGGAAGCTGTTATGTAAAAGGGCAAGAATCCCATGTCAATTGCCAGCTGCACTACAGTTGGGATGCACTAGAGCAGTCTGGTCATCTACAGTCTCTTCTTCTACAAGTCTTGGTAGTTTTACTGCAATTTTTGCACCACCTCTTCATCTATAAAGTTTGTGATGAGATGAAAGCTTTTATTTCTACCTTATATCCCAATTCTAAGGCTATAGTGACGAGTAAGAAAACATTCTTACCCCCTTTGTCTTGAGCTCTCTTTATTTGCTGGCTTGTTCCCTCCTGTGAGCTCTCATGATGGAGGCTAGTGGCGTTCCCCTGGTGAGCACCTGTGGATGAGAATAGGTACTTGCTGGCAGGTTATTCAGATGCTCTAGTTCCCGCTGCTGGTTTTCTCACTATGTAGGTCCTGGCCATATGCCCTAATACTCCACAGTAAAAAGAGAAGCACAGATCTCTTTGCCTTTCCCTATCTCCTCCTTCAAGACTAACTTATTGACAGCTCCAATTTGTATTGGCTTCCCAATCTGTCTCTGGAGATGCGACTGTTAGAAACCTGTGACCTGCAGGCACCTCTTGCTCTGGTGTGCTTGCTCTACTTCAATTTTTCCAAGAGAGTGTCAATTAATCAAACAATGCTGGACCATCTAATGAGGCAAGAGACCCTTGCCATACCAATTCAACTCGAGTGTCATCATTCAACCCCACTCTAAATTGGATAAGTACCATTTCATTCCATCCAGCACCCCAGGCCAACAATTTAAAATCCGAGATGAACAAACTTACTTGTTTCTCTGTTTGAGTTTCCAAATTTCCCAACTGACTGTGATTCTCCAAATTGGATCGTTGAAATTGTGTCTAAATCTCCTGATGAAGTTCTGGTAGTTGTCCAGTATCAAGTCATTGCCTTCTATCCTTGGAATGGCCCATTTCACAGCCCACCCCTTTCATCGAATTCAATAAAAAGGTCACACCAATGTGATCTGTTGGGAACTCCATTGCTCTGCTATTGTTGAACATTTCATTCGGAGCCAGAAAGATTCTCAGTTGGTCTACAACTCCTCTGTATTTCGCTGGTAAGCTTCCATAGAGTGCACTAGCACTGGTTCAACTGCTACTGCTGGACAACTTGTTGCACAACTTTGCACTACAGCAGCTTATTGAACTGTGCATCTGTCTACCTGATGGTGATGCTCAAGTAAGGAGGCTGCTAGCTGCTGTGGAGCTGTTGGCACATTCTTTATTTGCTTGCACCTAATGGGCAGAATCTTGCCAAACTAAAGCTGTAACCTATATCCTGAGAGATGATAGGGTGCGGCTACCTGAACCTGTTCTTATCTCCCTCCTAATCCATTTTGGGACTTCATAGTGACATAGTCTCTTAATCTGGGCCTGTCTCCGGGAAAGCTCATATTTTCCAAACTCCTCACCACTGTTTCTCCAGGTGAACATTCTACCACACTTGAATTCTGCCCTGCATGGCAGCAGCCACTCCTGGGCCTGCTAAATTCACTCTGCATAACCTGATGGCCAGCCTGCTTGTGAGCTATCTGGGACTTGTGTAATGACGCATGATCCTCACTTAACAACAGGAATGGGAAGTACCAAGATTACTATCGCTAAGTAATGTGGCCATATTATGTCAATCTTTACATGACCGCATTGCTTAGTGACAGAAATCCAATCCCAATTATTATTGTTAATTGAGGATTACCTGTGTCCTGAAAATGGGAGAAGCTGAGATAGCAGCTATTCCTAGTATAACTGCCCTGCTGCTCAACAGCCCTGGATCTTTGAGTCATCTTGCTGCTAATATTGGAAAAATTGAAATATGGTTTTGGGAGACTAGAACTTCCATGCATTGGGACAGGGAACTGAGTCAACTAGAGATTGCACAGCCTGCATAACAACTATGGGCTTGTCTCAGATAATTTCAGCCCCAAATCACAAAAGAGAGCATATGCTAAAACCCCTTTTTAGTCTAGAGTAGATGAAATATAATTTGAATATAAAAGCTACTGATATTTGTCTTCAGATTGTCTTCACTTAGGCAAGAAAAATCAAAGATATAAGTACAGATTAGGCGAAACCTGGCTCAAAAACAGTAACTATAAGAGGGACCTTGGAGTGCTAGTGGACAATCACTTAAATATGAGTCCGTAGTGTGCAGCAATGGCCAAAAAAGCTAATACAATCCTTGTTTGTATTAATAGAGGAACAGAATGAAAATCACGTGAAGTATTAGTACCGCTTTATAAAACCTTAGTAAGACCACACCTGGAATACTGCATCCAGTTTTGGTCACATTACAAAAATAGATGTTGAGAAAATGTTTCGAAAAAGTGCAGAAATGAGCAACTAGAATGATTAAAGGTCTGGAGTCTTAAACATATGAAGAACTGTTGCAGGAACTGGGTATTACTAGTCTAGAAAAAAGACGGGCTAGGGGTGACATGATAGCAGTATTCCACTATTTGAGGGGCTGCCACAAATAAGAGGGGGTCAACTTATTTTCCAAAGCATTAGAAGGCAAGACAAGAAACAATGGATGGAAACTAATCAAGGAGAGAAACAACCTGGAATTAAGGAGAAGCTTCCTAACAGTGAGAACAATTAACCAGTGGAATGGCTTGCTTTCAGAAGTTGTGGGTGCTTCATCACTTGAGGTTTTAAGAAGAGACTGGACAACCACTTATTTCAAATTGTATAGGGTCTCCTGCTTGAGCAGGAGGTTGGACTAGAAGACTTCCAACTGAATAGATCAGTTCCTAATCTTGGTTGTGTGGCAGGCTTAGGATCCACAAGGACCCACTTCCTGGCTCTATTAATATTCATAGTAACAGTTTTACTTGTGTGTGTGTGTGTAAAATATAAATATAGTTTGTAATTGGTTTTTATATTTTATGATGTATGTCATCCAGAGTCACTTATTGAGATGGGATGCTCTAAGAAATCAAATAAATAAGTAAAATATGAATCCAGAATCTCTGCAAGGACATGGGATCTACTGGGATGGCCCATTTCAGGTATATAATAGATCCCAATTATTATTTCCTTTTTTGTACTGCATTCTATTGTTCTCCCATGAGCCAACACTCTGGTTTTTGGTATGCATGTATTGCACAGTAAATATTAAACTACTTTATAAAGAATATTAAATCCTATTCTAAATCAAGCTGTACAAGTGAATTATATTCCTAGCTTCTATGTCACACAAATGTATCCTGTACGTATACGTACAGGAGAACATTTGTAATGTAGACTGTTACCGTCTATGTAGTAGGATCAGATAACTTAGGTTCCCACATTTTATGACGATTAAATTGCTAGTATTGTCATATACATATATGCACACAAATATAAGACTAATGGATCTAATTAATGAGCTGGGGAGTTAACAGCATCTTATTAGGCAGGGCAAGGAGTGACAAGAGTGTTCAAAATCTCAATTGTCACCAACACAAACAAATAATTGTTTTAACATATCTACACTGATAATATATCACATTTTTATCACAATGATTGTATGCAAAGAGAGTGGAATTTTGAAGCATTTCTTAAAGGAATATAAACTTCTTTCAAACTCCAGTGGAAGTTGTTATGCACAAAAGGTACCATATTATTTTGATTTATTATATAACCACAGCATTCAAATTCAACATTTCTAGCACTATACAGTGGTAAAATCCACCCCATTTTAGTGGTGATAAAAACTGAATAAATATTATCCCTATATAGTTATGAAATTTTGTTTAGCCATTTATCCATTCATCTAATCCTTAATAGAAAAATGTGTAATACTTAAAAGGAGCCCAGGCATTACCAAATTTCTAAGCTTAGCCTGATAGAAAGGCAGAAAGAAAAGAAGTGTTTTCTTATTAAAACAACAGCACTTAATAAGAAAAACCCTTCTTTCTTTTCTGCTTATCTGCCTTTCTATCAGGGCCAAGCTTAGAAATTTGGTAATGCCTGGGCTCCTTTTAAGTATTACACATTTTTTTATTAAAGATTAGATGAATGTATAAATGGCTAAACAAAATTTCATAACTATACTGGGATAACTTTTATTTATAAGCAACATACTACAATATAGAAACAATTTAAAGAAATTTTAAGAAAGCACGAGAGAAGGCAACCACTCACTTTTTGATCCCAGACTATTTATTAATAGTCTATGGGTCCAAACTATGACATATAGAGAGACAGAAGACAGAAAATGACTTTCAAACGCAATCACATCAGGAGTATGCCTGAAGATTTGGCAGCGTATCTGCCAACCCTTCCATCCCTTGGTCCAAAAAGTCTTTAGCCTTTGGAGCTCAGCAATCTGGAGTTGGGGGAAAACTGCATTATAGTTTGCTCGGGGGTAGAACTAATCTGAGATTTTCCCAAGATATTAAACTTCCAACTTTTGTACAGCAGTTTGTAAGGTAGTTCTGGAACTACTCAATCCCTTGTTTGGAATAAACACGCAGATTAGCGATTGTGTCTTCCAGAGCCACTCCCTATATGTAAACCTACACAAAACTTTAAAGGCAAATAACTAAACAGCTGCATGACGGTATCCAAGCTGTACTGAATTTATTATTATTATTATTATTATTATTATTATTATTATTATTATTATTATTATTATTATTATTATTATTCGTTCTCGATTCAACGTGACCAAAAGTTTGGAGAAGAGTTCGAGGCAACCTAATATCGGCTGCCACAACTAACAAAGAGGCAGTAAATGATTTTCTATCCCTTTCCAGTGAAGAGCGCGCATTAAACGCTTCCCCCCCCGCCCGCGCTCGCTAAGCCCAATACAGGGCCCTAAAAAAAAAAAAAAAAAAAAAAAGGTCATGTCATCACAAGCATCCACTGCATCACAAAGACGCCAGAATCACACTATTTTCCCAAGAAGCAGCTTCTGCTTCTTGAGAAAATAGGCGTGAACCCCACTCGCGCCTGATGGAACTTCCAGCAAAACGGGGCGATTTTCAAGGTTCAAGCGCCTTTGGCTGGATGGGAGAATCCAAGGCGCTGCGGAAACGATGTTGCGACAAAGCTTCGTGGGAACCGTTTCCACGCGGGCTATACCGGGGTCCCACACGACCCAGCCGCTTAAAAACCGCAAAACCAAGACGGAAGGGAAAGGAAGGAAGGAAGGAAGGAAGGAAGGAAGGAAGGAAGGAAGGAAGGAAGGAAGGAAGGGAAAAAAACAAGCCGCAAAAGTCAAACGAAAGTTACTTTATTGGGAGGGAGGGAGTGCGTGTGTGTAAGAGTTGGGGAAAACAGCCCTGCCCCCCCCCACACACACACATGCTCTTTTTAATCATGCACAACCCGAACTGTGCAACAGAAGCTCCTGCGCTTGCAAACACCAATAAGGGAATAGAGCAGAGGTCTTCAAACTTGGCAGCTTTAAGACTTGGGGACTTCAACTCCCAGAATTCTCCAGCCAGCGAATAGAGGGATCAACGGGAGAGGGGCGGGGGGGGGGAGGAGAAGAGGCAACAAAATCACGCCCGCCTCTCCCAACGACCGGCTCGAAGAAGAATAACCCGTACGCTCAATCAGAGGTCAGCTCCGGAAAGAAGCCTAGGCGCCCCCACGACCCCAAAAGCCCTGAGGCGGGAAGGGGGAAAAAAAAAACCCTTACCGAAAAGGGAGAGAGAGAGAGAGATTCCCAGACCAGACGAAGGGACCGCAGGGCAGCTCAGCCAGAAGCCATAATCGAGCCCTCCCTCGGTCCGTCAGCAAGCCAGCCGACAGCTGCGGAAATCCCACCCCGCGTTCGCGTATAGGCCCAGAGGACCAGGAGGATGGCGTGGATTGGCTTCCTCTGCCCGTCACTCACCAGCTGGACGGTGTTTGCGCACGGCTGCTCGCACGTGACGACTCCTCGGGAGGGGAGGGGCTTGAGCCAAGCGGCCACCTCCCGAGGGATGCAGGATTGACAAGGAGAGGAGGAAGGTGAGGATAAATGAAAGATGGGCGGGCGATTAGGGTTAATGGAGGGTGTCTTGGAATTTGTTGCTTCCTCTGTGTCAGGATTTAATTCTGGAGTACAACGATAATGAACGTGATTTTTTTTTCCCTATTGAAGGCAGTCATTGGGCTAAAACATAGGGCTAAGTGTAGTTTAATCCTAATTTACTGACTAAAATATAATTGGTAGAATTCATGCAATATGTTAAACTATAAGCTGAAGTTGACAAGCAACATTAATGAGTGTGCTGGCTGTGCTTCCACAGCATGCACACCTATGATTGAATCATGTTTCATTGGGTTCAGGGTTCCCTTCCCACAGAGGCTGGTTTTGGACAACATAACAAGTCAGCAGAAGATCAGTTCACACATCAGGCTAAGGCATACTTGGTTTTATTAAAAAATAAAATGACATAAATCATTAAGTAGCAAGTCATATTTATTAAATAAACTATAATTAGCTGCATTCAAACATTAAAAATTCTCCATAATAGATTATGAACTGAATGAGTTTGTATTGCACTAAATCATAGCAAGAATTCTGCATATGGCATCATATACTCCCAGCCAATATACTGTAATTGTGCCGTATAATGTTCTGTATTAGTAAACATTTAAAGAATTTTAACAGTATGCCTTGAACATATAGGGATTATTATTTTCATCTTCAATATTAAGAATTCCCCCTCCCAGCATATCAAAGATTATAGAGTCATGCTTTGATATGAGAAAGAATGGTACGGATTATAGACGTTTTGTAGAAAGTAAGCCTAGTTAAAAGAAGAATTTTACTAATAAGAAATAAACGTTGAAGATGTCCTTTCCAAATCTCATACTTTCCATTAAACAATTCCTTCATTTTGTCACAAACTGGGAATTGAAGTACTACAAATTTGGAGAGTAGTGGTGGGATTCAAAAATTTTTACTACCAGTTCTGTGGCCATGGCTTCATGGGTGTGGCATGGCATGGCATGACATGGCTTGGTGGGCGTGGCAGGGGAAGGAAACTGTAAAATCTCCATTCCCACCCCACTCCACAGGAAGGATACTGTAAAATCTCCATTCCCTCCCAATCAGCTAGGACTCGGGAAGCAGAGAGTAAATGGGGCAGGGCCAGTCAGAAGTGGTACTTACCGTTTCTCCGAACTACTCAAATTTTCTGCTACCGGTTCTCCAGAACCTGTCAGAACCTGTTGAATACCACCTCTGGAGAGCATCAGGTCAGGGCATTGGAGATAATGAAGTTCATTTAGTGATTAAAATAAAATATACCTTAAAGTGGGGGGGGGGAGATCAATATTATGCAATATTAGTATAAAATAGAGAGTCGTTATTTTGTGAATTATTAATTTTCTATTGAATTAGTTCTCTAAATAACATTAATGTCATCTGTGCAATTATGTGTATACAGTATTTAATTCAGTTCTGTGACATGCTTTTAATGCAAATACCTCATTCAGATTATCAAAACAACAACACCATCAAAATGCACACGTGCTAAAGCCATTACAAATTGTACATCCTGATATTCCTGTTAGGAAATATAAGAACAATCTGTTAAGGAGTCATTGCTAGTCTCAGCCATGAAAGGCGTTGCTTACCTTTTACAAAATTTGGGGCACAGGTCCCATAGGACACAATATTGTTCAAAACATGCATATGTTAATGTCAGTTAGACTGAATGTCTATGGAGATTCTCAGCCATCCAGGCCATGGTTATCTCAAAGGTGCTTTTTCAAGAGGCAACTGGACTTTCTGATTTTTCTTTAAAGATGTTTCGCTTCCGAAGAATCTTCTTGAATGAGAAGTGAAACATCTTTTTAAAAAACCCAGAAAGTCCAGTTTCCTCTTGAAAAAGCACCTTTGGGTCAATTAGACAGACTTAAATTTATTTAATGTCACAGAAGGCAAGCAAACTAATTTACTTCCTATCATGAGGTACAACGTGATCACTTCTTCAACTTAAATCTGCCCTGTAAAAGGAAGTAACCTACCATCTGTTTTCTTACTTCTGTTAGTTGTAAACTAGCTTTATGGAAAAAGAAATGGCTGTTGAAAATAAATATTTTCTGTAAAGTAGTATCCAAAGAAATATTAAACTGCCTACAAATTCTTTCCTATCTTAAAGTTCAAGTTTTATGATATCTTTGCACAGGAATAATTGGTGTCAGCAGATCATGACAGCCACATGCTGGCTTATACACAAAGCTAGAACAAGGAGTTTATTTTTATAAATAAACTGGAGTTCTAAGAAGTGGGATTTTTTTAATTCTTAATATTGCAACTTTATGCTTGAATTGTTTTTTCCAGCTAGCAAAAGGATGAAGCAGGAAATGGACAAAAAAAATTAGCATTGCAAGACATTCTATGTTCTTGTTTTCTTTCTACTTTCTACTTCTCTTTCAGCAACTAGTGGATGCAAATTCTTAGTGTTGCTTTGGCTCCTTATGCAGGCAAATGAAAAGATGAAAGAAGGAATGATTTGTGACTAATTCTACCAACACACATTTCAGTATTTAAATCCTTACATTTAAGGCTGCAGATAATTATAATTAGAAATAAGGTGTGGGACGGTTAGGGTGTAGAAATAACCAAACAAGTTTGATTTTCACTTAAATAGTTTTTCTCTGTGTGTGTGTTTCTAAAACCCTTCCTAAAATACGGAAGAACAGGAAAGTCTCAGATATACTCAGGGAAGTATCTGCAGACACCGTAATAATTGTGGGTGCTATATCAGGAAGATCTGGCCTAAATATTAACAAACTTTTTGAAGTGCAAACAAGCACGGTTAGGGGAAAAAAACCTCTGAAAATTTGTAAACTGCTCATTATTTAGCTCTTTCTCTAGTGCTAATTAGAATGTATACCTCTTTTTTTTGCAAATTTTGACATTAGGAAAAAAAGTCCTTTCAATCATTGTCAATTCATTAAAATATTCCTAATCTCCTAATGAACAGGTGAAAGAACATTTCTTTTGATTGATATGTTCGTTGTGGTAAATTTATTAAAAATAAATAAGAGCTTGTTTAATTCTTATAAGTGACCAAACTAGGATAATAATCCTAAAACGATTTTAGGATATAAGTGGGAACAGAGGGCAAAAATGTAGTTTATACATATTTTATATTAAATAATTATTTTTATTTAACTGCGTCTTCATTCCACTTTTTTAGATAGATAATAGTCTTTCCAACAACATCCACAACAAAAAGAATTAGAGAAATCCTGTTATCTGGGTTACAAATTTTTAAAAAATCAGGATCTATAAAGAAATTGGAGTTAAGGGAGAATGTCCCCCTTCAAACAGAGGGACAGCTAGACTTACTTCCAGAGTAGAGAGGCAGAAAGTTAATCAAGGGCAGATTGGTTTCAGCTTTTTTAGAGGCAAGAGGTACATGAAATCAAAAGGCCGGAAAATATGCTATAAAGTTATACCAGGCAATAGGACTTACAGAACAATAATAACAGTTCCAGCAATAAATGGAACCATGAATCAAAATGGTTTCATTCTCAATGTTTTACTTCAATGTTTCTCCAGCAAACTCCAATTCCTGTTGTTTTTTTTACAGAAAAGGGAAAACAATTGCGCTTCCCCTTTTCTCTCATTGAGGGAAGTCAAAACTGTTGTACTTCTGCTGCTATTATCAACTACTAGACCACAATAATTTTCAACCCTTTGGAGAAATCAGAACACAGCCATTTTCATTTATTTTTTTTTACTGAAGAGAAATTTATTACTGAAGGGATGATTTTTGAAAGTAGAGTATTGTCAAGCACAATATTGTGCTTGACTCTGTAAGTGAATTCAATCTAAGAAAAGGGAAAATACTAGGATTGTTAAAATACTTGCATTTTCAATGATTCATAAATATAAAAATAATGTAGAAAATGAGGTATTAATTAGATTATTAAATGTACCTGGAAAGTTGTTTGGCAAAAATCTGATTGAAAGAATATAAAAGATAGCAAGAGGCAACATTTAGAAAGCATTTTATGCTAGACATTGGTTTGTAAACGATGGTTATGCTTTTTAGTAAATCGTTGAGTAATATATGAATGCAAAAAGGTTCGTTGTACATTTTCTGCTCCAGAATAAGCCTGTATTATGGAATGTTTTGTGCGAATATAATGTTGAAGGATGATTGGTGAATTCTTCAGGAATTAACAATTTGTGTTTGAAGTAAAGGATGATTAGAATAAATGAAATGCTTTGTGAATGATTTAGCGTTGAGAAACTGATATCTTGTGGGTTGTTGAGTGTGTTTATTGATATATATTCTGTCACTTTCCCACCTTATAACCAGGGAGGCCCCAAATCTCTTGGCCTTTCAGAAAGCTGTGAACCCTGGGGTCCTCCCCAGAATCTTTTCCCTCTTTATACACAGGAAAATATTTCCCTTTCCTAAAGAAAATGATCGAATACAAGAATATAAGATAGTTATACATTTCTCCCCCCCACCCCAGCTATCATCTTACTAGCTTATATGACCCTGAAAATCTCAAGCTGTTGGCAGATCCTGTTGCTCCCCAAACTAAGCTGGCAAGGCTAGTCACATTAACAGGTTTACAAAGTTGTTATGGTAACATGAGTACAAAGCTCAGATTTCTTTGCAGAAAGTTTGAAGATTGTTATGAACAATTGAGTAAACATATACTAATTTAAGTCAAGAGACTGTATTTTGAGCTTAGATAAATATAATTGAGCAAATACTGCTGCACAATTGGCTGGGAGCAGCAGGCATATATACATGCTGAAAACTTGTTCATGCTTGCCTTGGTCAATACGTGCTTTGAAAGTTTAATTAGGTTGGTAAAGCATACTTTTTTTCTTTTCAATTCAGCCTTTGATCAAATTCTTCTTACTGTTTTCAGATTCCATGGGCTGGCTGAGGATTTTCCAGGCTACTTTTTGCTTTTAAACAAGAATATGCAAGTTTAGACTGGATACTTACAAAATTGGGAAAAAAATTTTTCACTTCTATTGTGGTAAGATGAAGCTTATTAAAGTCATTTGAAGAATGTAAATAGCATCTTTTAAAATGAGGATATTTGTCGCTTTTGACGGGCTCTGTGAGTCATTTGACATTTCACCAGAGAACACTGTGCAAGACGTAAAACTGATGATAAAGGTAAGAAATTGATCTTCATCAAATTGCTTCCTTTTTAGAACTTTTGACTTTCTGTCCTTGTAGAAAATTGAAATCAGTAATAAAATTCACTGCCAAAATGAAGAGAAATCTCTTTTACAGCATATACAAAGCTTTTTGTGAATCAAGGAACTGTTGTTACTATGCTTCTTGTTTACGTTACGATCACGAAGTTACATGAAACTAGAATTGTCTTATGACTTCTTTTTTCCCTTTTGAACAGTTACTTTCAAGAAAACCAATCTGCAAATCATTTGAAAACTCTTCTCTTTCTACATACATTATATGGGAGGGTTGTTTATTTTGTTTGAATGTGAGAGGTTAACAAAGAAAAAACTAAATAACTAGTAACACAAGCTACATGACTACCATATTTACACAAAATTAATTGGAATTGCAATACATAGGGCTGGAACCTAAGGATTCATGTGTTTATGGTTTAGTCCTATTTCCTTTAATTGCAGAATACAAACCAGGTAGAGAAAGCATGCAGAATTTGATTTGGGATTTTTTTTAAACTCCTTAATAATAGCTCTGCATCATGTGAGAAAGCAGGCTTAGAATGAAACAGTCGGCAGCATTCTGAGCAACTGCCCAACTGCTTCTCTACAGAAATACACTGGGTGATTTTTTTTTCCCCTACATGTTTTTCTCTGCAACCCCAATCTTGATTTGGCCTGATTTTAAACTCTATTATTATTTTTTTTCAGATTTTCCCTTCCAAACTTTGTCATGTTGTATTTGGTTTTTGCAGAGTTATCTTGCTGATAAACATACAAACAGATGAACAAAGTCCTGAGTCTCTTGACACAGTCCCTTTCCAACATTCTGTTGGGTGGAAAAGAATAGAAAAGTAAAACATTCTTTTTCATCTTCATAATTTATTATGACACTATTAAACCCATATTTATATGATAGTGTGAATTAATATAGCATAGCAAATAGCTACATACAAAGAGTATGCATTCCTCTGCATTCCTTTTAACATTTATTCTAAACTAGCTGGACACCCATGCTTCGCTATGAAACTAAGTGCTCGGGCTTGATAAATTGACACTTGCAGCCTGAAACTTAATGTAGAATGTGTAACTCTGTAACATCAGAATGTGTTAATATAATGCAATTGGCAGTTGGAACAGAGGGGGAGGGGGAGTAGAATGTCCCAGCCCGCAGCATCCATCAGTATTCATCTGGCTAGCATCCTGTCAGTGTGTGAGAGAGTTGAGGGGTGTTTGGAAACTCAAACAGTATTTGCTGTGTGAGCAAGAGGGAGACAGGAAAGAGGCTGGGCATGGCTTAGCTCAACTGTTCTGTAGTAAAGCTGCTTGCTTCTGTGAAAGTGAAACTGAAAGTGAAACTCCTCTGCTTGTGTTTTGCATTTGGAACAGATTTCTTTTCAGGTGGGGACTGGGGAGGGGGAGTAGAACTCCTTAGCATCAGAGCGTGGAACAGATTTCTTTTCAGGTGGGAAGGGGGAGTACAACTCCATCCTTTCTTAGTGAGCACCTAGAAACCAAGAGGAACATATGTGGCAAATTTCAAGTTTGCAGGCTTTACAGTTCTGGAGATTTCGTGATTAATGCGTGAGTGGTTTTCGCTTTTATATATATAGATGATACCCTATTCAATTCAAGGAGATTCCCAATGAAGGAGATATAAGGGCTGAAACTAGCAAGGAGAGGACCATACACTTTTCAAGCTGGGGAGAATAATTATGTAAACGTTCTTTAACTGCAGCTGCTTTCCCTGACTTTGAAGAAAATGCCACAGTATCTCAAATCAAGGACTTAATCCTGGAGTATAGAACACACACAGACACACACACATTTTAACATTTTAACTGCTGTGAATTGCAGATTTTTTTGTTTGTTGAGGACTCAGTTTCTTCTCTCCAATAAAACTATCACACCACAAAGGATCAACTGTAAGCTACACAGTAGAATTTAGAGAAGCCTGACTGGGCATAGGATTGCAACTAAAACAACTCAGTTACTATGTAACTTTACTTATAAAGTAGTAGAATCCATTGGGTTAAAAAAACAACATAGATTTAAAAACAAAATGCATATTAAAAAAATCAGACCATTAATACCACCAGAAAAGAGCCTGGTGCTCCACACAGAAACAACAGAGTACAGAATCTCGTACTGCATCTTCCACTGCAAGTACAATGGGACCATTCACATTGATTCCAGTGCAAGAGCAGAAATCATTTGTTGTTACTGATTCAGAATTTTAGCTAAATATTATGTAGTCCTAGAATATTATTCAGAGAATTTTGAAGACAGAGCAGAACTGGTAAACAGGTGGGGTTCTTGACAGCCATTGTAATCCATTGTAAACTGCCTGGTGAGTTTATCCTGCAGAAGATGCTAAACTGTCTATTGCAACATACATCCCTGCTTGTACCATATTATTTATCAAAGGGCATGTAAAGGGAAAATCAAGCACTGGAATAACTGTGCCATAGAGCTGATATAAAAAATCCTGCCTCGAGTGATCTTAAGCCAACCTCTTTGGTTTAATGGTAAACTGAGGGGTCCTTGGTGCTCTTTGAGCTTGCTTGTTTTCTTGCAGAAGTTTCATTACCCAAACTAGGCAACTCATCAGTGCTAGTAAGGGGTGCAGTTTGCTGTCAGTTTATATTAATGGTAAACTATTAGAGGCTGTTCTAAGAGGAACAGCAGTATTGAAATAATGTTAAATCTTAACCAAACTTATAACCTCTAGGCACTTAGGGAACCCTGTAACTGCTGAGCTACAGCTCTTAGCATCTCTAAGAAATTAGTAATAAAATCTGTGTGTGCTATGCATTATTATTATGTGCCTTTGCTCAAGGTACATGTTCTTCGCTTTCAAGCTTATAAAAAGTAAACCAGTCTCTCACTATGTAGATGCAATATTGACACTTGCCATTGATTCTATGCGAGAGTTGCTTTTCACCTTGCTCTGCTTATATTGTGTTTAATCTCATGGTAGACTGTGATATGTTTATATTAGTTATGGACATAGAAAAGTCACCAAAATGAATCACTGATTTATCTAGCTTAATATTTGCATTAGCTTTCTTCAAATCCTTGCCCTCTGAATACTTTGGACTTTAACTTCTATATGGGATGTTGTCTGAGATAATGGGAATTGAGGTTTAGTGCAATAGAGAGTGACAGATTGAGGGAAACTGGTTCACACTCACTTGATAGTTGTTTTACATCATTCAGAAAAGGGTTCTCCAACTCTGCATTTATATGCCAGGGAAACAGACTAAATAGCCCTGTTATTGAGTTCCAATCCTTCCCCCATAATTCCTACAACTATGGTTATTGAATGATAACTTGGATATTTACCTTGAACTTTTAATGTTTATGGTTTTTTTATATAAAAAAAATCTGTTTTCTTCTATTAAGGATTATTTTCATGTTCCACTATCAGAAGACAAACAAGGCAGGAGATACTTGGAGCTGATATATGCAGGAGCAGTGCTAAAGGACAACTGGGTACTTGCTGATGTAGGCATTACAGTTTCTTCCTCAATTAAATGTGTCATCAAGGTATGATTTAAAAAGAACAAAATGGCTGCCAAATACAGAAATTATCTCTCTACGTTATAGAACTTGTGCTAGCATCACTTAAGAGTAATGAGAAGGTTCTGATCTTCAAATGAAATACAGTAATCTTCAAATAATAAAGCAGAATGCATAAAGACCATGAGAATCCTTAGTCTCACTCTGATTTAAGAAATTCTTTCAAATGAACAATTATATATTTTGTGTGTCTTAATATGCCATGTATTCTAAAATTTGACTTTGTTCATCAGTTCTCCATCAGCGTCTGTGGCACATAGAATGATATTATGCCTAATAAGAGTGATTGAGAATGGTAGCTGGATGTGTATATCAGGTTTAATGGAATCTTCAGCAATTAAAACAGTCTTTGGTAGAATCTGATAGACACATACAGTATGGTAGCAGCAGCAAGAGTAAATCCTCTAAGCAAACAAAAGTTACTACTTTGATTTCCAAAAAAAAGAACAAACATAGCTCAACCTCACATCCCTTAAGTGCAGCATGACGATATCCACTAACTGTTTTTAGAGCTTTTTAAAACTCTCCTCATTCCACAATCTTAATCTCATGCCCAGCTGATAGGTTTCAGTTAGAGTCAAGGTTGTATTGTAAGGCAGAAAGCTGCACACCCAAAACGCAATCTTCCACAATCTTTCCTCCTTCCCTGCAACCAGTCCTTCAAAACAATGTTTGAATACAATTCTAAACATAGCCCAGTGGGATGGAGGCTGGATTGGAAATGAAACGGGTCCAAGTCAGAGGGTGACAGAGGGGAGAAAATGAGGAAGTATATATCATGACATTACAACACAAATCTCATGATAGTGGGGATTGTGTACTTGTGTACAACATTGAGAAACAAGTACAAAACACAGATTTCAGCTTTTTTTGGCTGTCATTATGACAGCTCATACCAAGTGCTTATGGGAGGGGACTTTCCTAATATGACTTGTGAACTTCCTTGTGCTTCCCCCAATACCTCTCTGTTGCCCCACCAATCTTGAACTATTTTTGGACGTGGTTTTATTGGTCTTATAAAATGAATTACTATCATACTTGTCTTCTTAAGGAACAGAAGGGTACATACATAATTTTGTGCAAGCTAGAATCTTTAATAAATCATGGTTATACCATGACTGTGCAGTGTGAAAATGTGATATGTGACTTATGTGCCATAATTGCACATTATTTTTTAAAATGTAAATAAGGAATTGCTGTGCCGTGATGTTAATGCCTTTTCTTCAAAGAGGAAAGAAAATAAGGAATTCTCATTGTTTCTTTGAAGCTAATATATAAACAGGGAAGGAAAAATTACTTGCAACTAAATTGAGAAACCAGGAATTATTGCTGCTGTCTTGCTTATTTTATCAATTCAGGAGTTAGTTAGCCAAAATTATTGTTCTTGGCATGGCATTACTTGGTACATAGGACATAAAAGCAAGAAAAGCATTAGAGCTGCTGTCTTCTTCTCAGTCTAGTCTTTGCACTCAGCAGGACTTAATTTCTAAATAAGCGGGCAAAAAAAATTAGACTGGAAAGGAACTGCATTCATACAAGTTCATTAGTAATTACAGAAGTGCATAGCCAAGCTTTAGATCCCACATAAGAAACAAGTGCTTCCGTTGCTTTAGCTCTTTTGATTGTGGAAAATATTCTATATGATTTCTTTCTGTATATTTTCATTCTGAGAAGCATATTTAGCGATTCTTCTCATTCTGGAGATGGAAATTAAGCCAGAATAAAAAAATATTAAAGTTATCCAAAGACTACCAGAACTGATCTTAGGAGGGTATAATTTTAAACCTAATTCTCAGAGCATATACAGCATTTTTCAAGCCTAGGGCTGCATTTGTAGTCAGGAGAGGAAAAAGACAATCTAATTTATTTTAATTACAGTTAATAACAATTGTTACCTCCTGTAACAAACTGTAAGAAAAACCTTAACTACTTTAGCTATATATGTGAGGGAGATTTCTTGCACATACATTTAAAATTGCCTTTCTCAAACCAATGTCCACCAAATATTGGACATTCTGACTAGGAATTTTAATTTTGTAATTCAACAATTGTAGAAATGTAGTGTTGCAGTTCAACAAATCTGAAGGGAACTAAATTATTGAAGACATGTCATATACATTATGTTTCTTGTTCATTAATGTTGTTTTCTCCACCAGGAAGAAGACAAGCCAATTTTCTATGTATACAACCCGGTCACTCATGAAAAATTGTCCATAATGGGAAGGATTTATCTTCTTTCATCAAAGGTTTCTGAGCTGAAAACTTTAGTGACCTTGAAATGTGGTTTTCCAAGTAGCATTTATTGTCTCAGAACTCCAGAGGGCAGGGAGATGTTTGACTGCAATACTCCGAACAATTATCAGTTAGATATAGGTATAAGACTGTTTGCATATTATATCTGTTTTTAGTTGATAAGTATAGGACCTTCAAATCTTATCTTGGTGACTCAAAATTGTAATCCAGATTTCTTTATCTGAGACAGTTTATGAATCTCAGTGAATCTAAAGCAAGCTATTTTTGAGTAGACATATACAGAACTATATTATAAATAAGAAATATTTACACTTTTACTGAGAGAAATGAAATAAGGTTTTCATATTTGGCAGTACAATTTTACTATCTCTTTAGTCTTTAAATCCTAACACCGGTACATAGTTGACAATTTAAAAATGTTAGAACACAAGCAACTGGTAATAAGGAAATGAAATTTAACATTTTGAAGTACGTTTATGATTAGATAATTTAGCTATTCTTCTGAACTAATGTTGATTCAATTTTACATTGTATCCATAATACTATGTAAATAGCTCCTTTTCTAAATGTAAACTTCACTTTTCCTGCTATTGTTCATGTGATTTTCAGCTTCTCTGTTACTACAGATATTAAAATATAGTACTTCAGAAGAGAATGAGTGGTACCTTCTAGCCAACAAAGATAGAAACAGAAATAAATGACAATGTTTACTATTAACAGGCACAACTCTTCGTTTGGATGTTTGGAATGGATGGAGAGAATTCTTGACCAGCTGTATCCTAGGAAACAAATCCAAGATCCAATATTATCTGTCAAAGGAAGAACCAATACTCAGGTACGAAGATTCAACACACACTTTTCAAAATCCAGTTTTATTTTAGATTAGAATGTTTGTTCCAAGATGGTCATTAAGTGGCAAGAACTGAAGGACAGAGGAAATAGGCGGGAAGAAAGTGAAAGTTAAAATCAAGAAGGTCCAGCCTTCAAGATAACATCTATTTTGCCTTTGCTGCATTGGTTACAATAGGCTTTCAAGATCATTTCAGAATGCTGGTTGCGTTACTTATCAATCATAGTGCTGGATTATTATCAGGGACTACTGTATGTAAATGCATAATGGTTTCTGTAGTGTAATTTTGATTACACTTGTGATTTTGGAAATGCTATGCTATTCTTTACATGGCTAATTATTTTTTTGCACACATATTTTTTCAGGTATCAAAAGAGAGTAGCTCTTTACATGGCAGCCTTTTTCGGACACCTTCAAGTTTCAATCTGGCTTTTGAAAAATGGAGTGAAGCCCACTGAAACAATTGGTGTACATCCTTATCGTGAATGGTGTCAAGAAGATGATAATTCTGACAACATGAAATGTCCTGTTCATGCAGCTGCAGAAGCAGGCCAACTTATGATACTGAAAGCGTTTGTTAATTCCAGTGCCTTATCCCTTGAATGCCAAAATTCTGCAGGGCAAACTCCATTGCAGCTATGTATCCAGCACAGACATAAAGATTGTGTATTGTATTTAGTCACCAAGTTATGGTCGGTGGTTTCTTATCCTACATTCTCTCTGCCCATGAAAATCTATATTAAGTTAAAGCTGTGGCTTCTTAAATCTCAAAATAACATCTATCCAGTCAAGAAGTACAACCCTGCTGCAGTCTTCAAAACACGAGTTGGGGATGTTGTCTTTGTGGATGGTTTCACAAAACCAGAAATGACCTCCAGAGGTTTTTGCTCAGCCATGATCAAACATGCAAACAGCAGAGGTTGCACACTGCCAGATTTAAATAATCGGTTTCAACACGAGCAATCTCGGTACCATTTGACCATATCTGATACGTATCTCAAAGCAAAAAATGTTAGCTTACCTCCAGTGGTAGGTGCAAAGAAGAGAGGTAGCAAAGATAGACACTGGCAAAAAAGGAAGCCTAGAAAAAAGAACACACGGCTTAATGAAGAATATATGGACCAAAATATGTGTTTAGCAAGAGTTCCTCTACCTTCTAATTCTCTCCTCAAACCAGCTTACTATTATTCCATACCTAATGTAGAATTCCTGCTAAATCCTTCCCTGGAGTCATTTTCAGAATATTGTGGAAGAACTCCAAGAGAGAATGCAATCTACTGCTTAGCCATAGCCAGGTATGTGTCGGTCTTTATTCAGAAATATATAAGTTGAAAAGCAGCATCAGAAGTTTTCTTCTTCTTACAGAGACCTTATGTTTCCATTCCCAGTCTTAAAAGAGGTGCCTCAGTCCCAAAATTGAGCTTGAAAAATTGTGGCAAAAAATAGCGATTTGTTGCCATAATTGACAATGTGATTTCACGGTGCCAGGGGGCATCAACCTGAATGCTGAGAGGCCTGCATGTAGGCTACAGTCTATCCAGCCTTGAGCCTTTTTTGTGTGACAGAAGCATTCAAAACATTTTACAAATGATACAGAGTTCACCACATCACCTGTTTGGCCTGGGGCAAAGGTAAATAACTGGGCATCATTAGCATGCTGATGATACCAGAATCTATGTGATGGGTCACCTATCCCAGCAATTTCATGTAGATGTTAAAAAGAAGTGAGGAGGGTTTCATAATTAATCATCACAATTGGCAATCATTATTGCCAATTATAATTATCATGTATTATTGCCAATTATAATTATCATTTGGAGGAGCTGCTGAAAATATAAAGATTCTGATGAATAGATACTGCCATCAAGTGGCAACAGTAAATTCAGGAAACTATAATCAGAGAAGAGTGGGAGTCTAGGTCAAGGCTGAGCAAGTTGATTTTAGCTGATTTGCAGAATCATTAAAAAAACTATTAAATAAAACTAAAGTGTGGATTGTCCTCTCCTGCAAAAATGTTTTTTGATCCACTTCATTAGACAACATCTCTGTCAAGTTTCCAACATTCTCTGTTGGGAGAAGCTTCTGAGAACAGGTTAGGGAATCAAATACAGGATGGATTAGTTTACTGTTCGGTGCAGTATGTCAAATTCAAAAAATACATTAATTTAGCAGACAATTTTTTTTTCTTTTTTTCTTTTATGAGACATATATTGAGGGGATGCGATGGCTCAGTAGTTAAAGACACTGAGATTGTTAGCTGGAAAACTGACAGCTCCGGTATGTGATAGGGTGAGCTGTTGTTACTGGCCCCAGCTTCTGCCCACCTAGCAGTTTGAAAGCATGGAAGCGTGAACAGATAAATAGGTACCACTTCAGTGTGAAGGTAACCTTTACCTTTATATACTGTCTATTTATCAAACTATGCAATTACAATAGCCAACTATCATTTGAACACAAGCATAAATAACATCACAGAGTGGACTTCTCCCAGGTATTTGTCTTTATTTTCAGGGTATGTGTTCTATTAATAATGCATACTAGGAGTCCAGATTCAACATTATCAATTTATAAATGATGGAACAGTTGGGGTTTACTTGCTTTTGCATGTATATATAATTAATTGATACCTTATATGTGGCTGCAAAGATAACAAATGTCTATATCTTTTATTGCAGTGAATTTAAAGAGAAACCTTGGCTGCAACAATTGGACATTGCAAGAACCCTAGCTAGAAAAAGTATATGTAAACCTACATACTAACTAGACTCAGATAAAATAGACTATATAATAAATAGTCTAACCAAAAAGATTTACGGAAACAATGCATCTTGGCAAGCAAAGTTGCATTGGACTATCTTCATACATATTCTGAGAATCCTGGAATCTTCCCCTCTGTGGGAATCCAATAGCATCCTTCAAATGCTATTGAAGTGCCATTCACATTCCGAAAGGATTAAGAGTAACAATTGGTTTATATAAATATGAAACACTAACACATATTTTTTGAACATTTTGGAGGACTCCTATTGGGGATTCTTTAAACAGAAACATTGTAGACAATCAGCAGACTAATTTTTCTGAAGCTCAGGAATGGGACTGAAATGGAATGGATTGGAGACCTTGAAAAAGATTGTGGTGGACAAAGAAGTTGGTATTCAGAAGAATCCTCTTAATACTAAAAATGATCTTAGCTTACATATTATGTGGATGAAAATATTTTGCATGTAAAAAGGTGCTATCATTGGAGGAGTGGACTCTCGTCCTAATTTGAAAACAAGACTGATTGACAAGTCTGAATTTTACTATAATGCCATCCCCAAATTAGTCAGATATAATTGATCCTACTTTATAAAACATTTTTGATGCTTTTGAAATGTATTTCTGCTACTTCTTAGAATTCATACGTTCCTATTTATTAAATCATTATTAACATGTCTTAATTTAATTATCTTTTTGTACTAATTTATTGAATTGAATCTACTTGGAGAGCAATAAGGTATAGCAGTTATAGGGGTGAGGCGAGATATGCTGGAACATTATTGCCACAAAGACTGCTATTTCTATGACCTCTTACAGCAAGAGAGAAAGGAAAATCTAATAAATGACGGCTGGAGGTTCACTTATTCAGTTTCCAAGATTTTGTACCCTATCCCTTTTTTGCTGCCATTAAACCTAATGAATGAAGTTCTGCAGTATGTGAATTGCTTCCATGGTCATGCATTGTTATTTAAGGGTTTAATATAACTTGAATATGCTATAATTGGAAGAATGTAGATCTGGCTAAACAATCATAACCGAGGTATATATGTCAATTTCTCTGTATCATTTGAAAAATTCTACACTGCACTGCTATTCTGTTACTTTATCAAAGTTTTTAGGTGGTTATTAGCTACCCACTGGTGTATAATAAGTGAACAGCTGTATAGAAAGGGAGGGAGGGAGGAAGGAAGGAAGTTCAAATGCAGGAGTATAGAATTAGGACCATTCTGAACAGCATGCAATAAACAATCTAAAAATAGGTTACAGTGCGATGCCACTGCAAAGGGACAAGAATCCTCCTGGCACTATATCAATGGGAATATACTGTCATGATCAAGATAACTCACTGTCCTCTTTACAAATAGTCCTCAACTTATGACTATTTGTTTAACAATCATTTGAAGTTACAACAGTGCTGAAAAAAGTGGTGGCCACTCCTCATACGTACGACATAACAACATCCCCACAATCTTGTAATCAAAATTTTGTCACTTGGCAAGTGGCATGTATTTACAATGATTACAGCATCCCAAGGCCATGCGTGATTACTACTGGTGACCTTTTAATAGGTTTCTGACAAGCAAAGTCAATGGGGGGCGGGGGAGCCTGATTTGTTTAGCAACCATGTGATTTGTTTAAGGACTGTGGTGATTAGCTTAACAATAGCAGCAAAAAAGGTCTAAAATCAAAGGTGAGTCACTTAACAACTGCATCACTTAGTGATGGAAGTTCCGGTCCCAATTGTGATTATAAGTCAAGGACTATTTGTATTTTGCATTGGTTAGACAACACCTGGAGTTTTGTATTACGTTCTAGGCTGATTTTGGGAAAAACATTGACAATCAAATCCAAAGAAAAATAACTAAATAATGGAGAGAACAGTTGTATATACTGAGTATTTAAAGCTGGAGAACACTGCAAGAAAACACTATATCCATTTTTAGATAATAAAGATGACAGAAAATAATTTTTCAGTTCTGGATGACAGGATAATAAACAATGCATTTAAATCACAAGGAAGTACAGTTCAGTTAACCATCCTGAAAACATTCCTAATAGTAAAAGCAAGTCAACTGTGGAGCAAATTGCTTTTCATGCTATGCACATGTAGTCCACAATTTAAAATAGTTCATTTAGTGACCATTTGAAGTTATAACGGCACTGAAAAAAGTGACTTATGACTATTTTTCACACAACGGCTACAATATCCCCATGGTCAGATGATCAAAATTCAGACACTTGGCAACTGACTCATATTTATGACAGTTGCAGTGTCCAAGGGTGACATGATCATCCTTTACAATCTTCTGACAAGCAAAGTCAATGAGGAAGCCAGATTTATTTAACAACTGTGTTACTAACTTAACTGCAGTGATTCATTTAACACGATGGAAAGAAAGGTTGTGAGCTGTAGTGGCGCAGTGGTTAGAATGCAGTGTTGCAGGCACACTGCATTCTCACTGCCAGGAGTTTGATTCTGACTAGCTCAAGGTTGACTCAGCCTTCCATCCTTCTGAGGTTTGTAAAATGAGGACCTAGATTATTGGAGGCAATATGCTGGCTCTAAACTGCTTAGAGAGGGTTGTAAAGCACAATGAAGTGATATACAAGTCTAAAAGCTTATTGCTATTCCTATTGTAAAATGGGGCAAAAATTAACAACTGTCTTGCTTAGTAACAAATTTTGCACTCAATTGTGGTCATAAGTCAAGGATTACTTGTATTGCCTTCTTTGGAAGTATTTAGACTTGGTGATCACTGGTAGAGATGTTGTACAGTGGTCACAAATTTCAGCAGTGGGTAGGGAAGTGGATTAGATTATTTCTTTTTAAAAGCAGGTATTTATTACTAATATAATTTCAAAAATGTATAGAAATACAAATGCTTTTAAAATATAGAAAATATGGGGGGAAAGGGCTAGGAAAAATAATAAAATGCAGGTGGATAATTAACAAGGATGTAGTATTAGTTTTGCACATTTGAGCCAGTAAATCAGAAGTGGAACTAAAATCTGGTTTTATCTAAAGCAAGCTCACGTTGCTCTAAATTTCTTTTATCTTAAATGTGTTTTGCTTTCTTTGCTTTGTCTGACATTGCTAACTCCAGAAGGACATCACATGATGGATTTGTATGCAATACTTTTAAGGAGCCTGACCAAGAACATGTCTTCAATAATTGTTACATACCGTACTTTTTTCTCCCTCCTGCCTTTTTTTGGAGGAGACAAGCATACCTTGTATATCTTTGCAGGTGGCTAGATTTCAACACAAAATACGACAAGTTTATTCTTTAATTGACAGAACCCTGTCATAAGCTCTGGAAAATATGATTCATATTTTCATGATCTATCAGAGCTATCATATCATGATAGCTCTGAGTGGCTATGAACCCAGCTAATTGTGGGGTGTTCAATAAATCTTATTTAGTGCTAAAAGATTTTAATTCAGGTCACTTTACCCGCCCGCCAAAAAACGCTGTCCTTCACATTTTCAAAAGAGGACTCTCTTAAGTGAACCTGTTAGCAATAATTTCTGTATAGTTATGCTCAGTGGTGGGATTCAAATAATTTAACAACCGGTTCTCTGCCCTAATGATTTCTTCTAACAACCAAATTTATGCTTCATATTAAATCTGCATTAAAATATTTTAAACGTGGTTTTAGATTCACGATACAGAAGAAGACAGCGAGGGGGAAACTTTTGCCAGCAGGCGGCGGCAACAGCACCAGCAGCAACGCCTCGACTTTGCTTTAAAGTCAAGACAGATCCTGCATAAGGGCTGACGCCATAGAAACAGAGTGGAAGCGCGTTCGTCTTCAGCGAGTCCGAGTGGGAACCCTTGATGAGGGAAGCTGCTTCTCGGCGGAGCGCTATCTCGGTGACACCAGCCGGGAGGGAAATTTTGCCCGGCGGGTAGCGAAGCCGGGAAGGGCTGCTTGTGTCGGTGAAGGGCGCTAAGGCGAGGAGAAGATGCTGCTGGTGCTGTCGGAAGAGCACAAAGAACACCTGGGCTTCCTTCCCCAAGTAGAGAGCTCAGGTAGGAGCACTTCGAGGGGCTTGCAAGGCTGCCTGCCGCTCGCTTTACTTAATGGCTTCGCCCACTCTGGACCTGCGTGGCTCCGGGAAACGCTGGTCCTTCCTCTCGCCCCCCCCCCCATCTACCGCGTGGGTAGATGGAAAAGCGCGTGATGGGATGCGCGGAACTCATCCTGATACGTTGAGGCCCACAGAAGCCGTTGCCTGCTTACTTGGGAATGTTCAGTGGGGAGTATCGGAATTTTTAGGGCTGCGACCCTCAGAGCGCCCTGGATACCTTTGCTCAGCTGAAAACACCCGTTGGATATGCATAGAGCAGAGGTCTTCAAACTTGGCAGCTTTAAGACTTGTGGTGGAGAATTCTGGGAGTTGAAGTCCACAAGTCTTAAAGCTGCCAAGTTTGAAGACCTCTTGCCTTAGAATATGCTTCCAGGGAAGTGTGGCTACCCTCACAGTTTAAATCAGCATTGCCAGTAAAGATGCTTGTAGCAAATAATTGTCCCGCCCCTGCTTTTGTAGTACAATTATTTATTGCAAGTAAGCATAACAATTCTAATACCGTTGTTTTATTGATGCCTAGGGATATGGCCTTCTGTTAAGCCTCTTCCATAATGTGTTCACTTTATTTGCTATGAAGACTTACGATTCATTTTGACTTTAAGCTTCAAGAAATAATAGAAACCTATGCTATAATTAGGGATGCGGGGGCTAAGACGCTGAGCTTGTCGATCGAAAGGTCGGCAGTTCAGCGGTTCGAATCCCTAGCGCCGCGTAACGGGGTGAGCTCCCGTTACTTGTCCCAGCTTCTGGCAACCTAGCAGTTCGAAAGCATGTAAAAAATGCAAGTAGAAAAATAGGGACCACCTTTGGTGGGAAGGTAACAGCGTTCGGTGCGCCTTTGGCGTTTACTCATGCTGGGCACATGACCACAAAGACGTCTTCGGACAGCACTGACTCTTCGGCTTTGAAACGGAGATGAGCACCGCCCCCTAGAACGACTAGCACATATGTGCGAGGGGAACCTTTACCTTTACCTTTACCTTACTCTATAATTTGACCTATGTTAATTCTGCAGTTTTAATATGAAGGCTTTTCTAAGACAGCTTTAGAACCTTTTGCTTAGCTTTCAAGGCCAAAAAGATTATACACAGTGTCTGGAGTACTTTGTTCTGTATCTTCAAGATCAAAGTATATTAAAGTTTTATGTAAATATTTTTAAATGAAGAGCACAGACTATAAATCTAAATAATGATTCCTATGATCTTTACTCATATATCTTAGTATTTTTGTTAAATGTAAATGTTTGCAAATATTCTAAGAGAAAAAAATGTGAAATTTGCAGTTGGTCAAAAATTATGTTGGAAATGACTTTGCCTTTGTTATTTTATTTTGTATTTTACTTTTTTGCAATGAAAATATTTTTACAGTGAAACAAATTATTTAATTTTTCTTCTTCACATAATTGATTAAGATGTGGTTTGATTAGCAATGAAATGAAACATAATTAACTGGTTTCATGTAACAAATTAAGCAATAATCTATAGTTTACAAACTAGTAACTGAGCTTGCATACCAGTGGTGGTTATATAATGTGATCAACCAGCTTTTGTTTTTAGGTTCATACAATACATTGAAGAATGGAATAGCTAAGTGGCCTGGATTTGTGTAACATGCAGGTGGCTAGTTAACAAAGTTAACTAATCAATCTTAGCAAGTTTGTGACTGCTTCTGCGTTGTGTGCACATAGCCAAGTCTGCCAACTTGCACAATCACTTAGCATAACCTAATCATTATCTCAGATTAAATAAATTGATCTAATCCTCATATTGCAGATTATTAATGTAGCTAGCTTGCAATTACAAATGTTCTAGCAGAGGCAGTTCCTGTGCCTGCAGTTAACTCAATGTTATTAATTCAGTAAATTGAACCAAATTAACTGTATAACCTGAGTTCAGATTGCATTCTGTGTGATAGCAATAGCACTTAGACTTATATACCGCTTTACAGTGCTTTATAAGCGGTTTAAATAGAGTCAGCATATTCAGATGGATAGAAGGCTGAGTCAACTTTGAGCCTGGTGAGATTTGAACTGCCAAATTGCAGGCAGCCAGCAGAAGTAGCCTGCTGTACTGCAATCTAACCACTGTGCCACCACATCTCATGTGATGTTTGGGTCATTTTGTGATTTCTTGTGAATACATCTTAATTTTTGAGGTAGGGACTTTCCTGGTCACATTAGAGTTTAAGTAGACAGTAATCGGAAACACATTGTGGCTGCCAACCCCGAAGCACTTCAGAAACTGCCAAAGCTTCCTCACTCAGGTTCAGTTCATATGCAGTTTGATATGCAACATTGATAGCGTTAACTCTATACCCAATTGTAGAAACTTGTATAAGTGGAATCATATACAGATTAATATTACCTATACCAACTGATTAAGTATTTAACAATTTGATTTATGTCCACATGTAATTTATGTTCTCATTAGTGGACTAGGTAAAACATACAGAAGTGCTTTATAAAATGCAGGGATGTACATACAGCATTTATTTTTGAACTGCTAAAGCAGCTGTGTATTTTCACCCCAGAAAAATGATTCATATAGAGATAGCCAAGATCAGTATTTAAAGCAGCAATACAAGCATTGCAAACCATATGACTGCTTTAATGTTCCCCAAAGGAGTTGGAAAGCTTCATTTTAAAATATGCTTTGCAAAACCCTATTTGCTATTACTTTCATTCATGCTTGAATTAACCACCCTTCCTAGATTATAACCGCAGTGATAGATCAACTATTCTTTTGGGATGATTGGAATCAATAACAGACTTGTTGCACCTACGTAACATTTGAGCAAACCAAAACTATTTTTTCTTGTTACTTTGCTTATTTTTATCTTTTTGGGGTTTGGGGAAGCGAAAGAATTAAAATACTGCATAAATGATGATATAATACTTTTATTATAAAGTATGGTATATTAATACTTTTAAGAGGAATAAGAGATCCTAGATCATATGGCAAGGAAAACAAACCACAGACCTAAAGGTAAATTGGCTAGTTATGCCTGCTGACATGCAATCGTGGCAGTATTCTGGCTTATCATTTCAAGGAAACATGGTCATTTTGTGATCCAAATAGTGTGATAATCTTTTTATCGTATGACAAATATCATTTATCATATGACAAATATTTCTAACATAATTTTCTGAGGAATTCTGGTTTTCTCAGTTTTAGGCACTCTGCTCTATTGCTGTTATGTGGCTGTTGCTCCTAGTTAAATATGAAAATTGGCTTAATGTTATGAACCCGAGCCCTGTCTTGTTCCTTAATAACATCATCAGAAATCACGGATTCTTTTTAGATTATGGTTATTGAGAGAAGGGCAAGACACACATACTGAACAAACCACAGATGGTACCATTCAGGTTTATTTAGCTGACAGAATGGACTATACATAAATGTTTGAGTATTGTGCATTAGTCTAATATTTATTCCCAAGCCAGAATTTTTTAGACTCTAGTTCACTGTTACATGGAAAATTTATAAGTGAAAAATAACGATTGAAATTTTACTCTGGCAGGCCATAATGTTTTGCTACTTTCTTTTATTTGTCCATTTCTGCCTACATTCATTACTCTCTAAATTTCCCTTTGTAAATTCAGAAGCAGATTCATAATTTGCCATTGATAGAGATATGTTGTATTCAAATGGATTACTTTTAAAGGAGGCTCTTCTATGTCCCAGCCATAATTCCATTATGGTGTTTCTTTTTTCAGTTGTCAATGAATTTGGTCGTATTGCTATTGAGTTCTTAAGAAAAGGCACAAACCCTAAAGTCTACGAAGGAGCAGCAAGTAAGTATGTTTCTGGCTATAAAAGCAACAGACAAAAATAAATGACACATCTATTATCGATCTATTGATGAGAAATAATGCTGTTAACCCAATAAACAATTAATGTGAACTAGGGATAAGATTTGTATCTTGGTCCAAACTACACTGCTCAAAAAATTAAAGGGAACACAAGCAGAAGACATCCGAGATCTGAATGAATGAAATAACCTTATTCAATACTTTGTTCTTTACATACAGTAGTCTTCTGCTTGTGTTCCCTTTAATTTTTTGAGCAGTGTAGTTTAGGATCATGGATTACAAAAAATTGTAAACTAACTCAGCAGGATGATTGGCATACAAAACTATGTTGAGGAAGTTAAATACAACTTCTTTGTATAGTATGCTAAAGGCCACATCCAAAAGAAATGGGGTGACTATTTTTTCCTTTGATTAATTTTAAAGCTTTTATTAATTTATTGTTAAGGTTAGGATTTATTTAATGTTTAAATTTTATTCGGGAGGGAGTAATAACATAATTTTTCTTACCATAAACCATAGCTGATTCTCTTCATCTATGGGGACTTGATTCATTGTTAACTTCCCCTATTGATAAAGAGAAGACACTACAACCTTTTTTTAAGTTCAAATGAAGTGAAAGTGAAGAAGGGAAATCAGAATAAATCCTTTTTGTTTTTTACAGGGAAACAAGATTTGTTTCAATTTAGTTTTAGAGTATGGAGAGTGTTTTTAAGGGATACTTTTTCTCCTTTAAAATTCCTAAAATTGAAAAATGGGGGAAACTTTTAGCTTTCCCATCCACTATCAAACCAATAAGCCTTGAATTCAGATATCGATGCCTGTGTTAAGCATAGAAGAAAAACCAGTAAGGCATTGAAGGAGAACTACAAAGGCATTGAAGTAAAATTACAAAGATCATTCTCAGTGAGAAAAGGCCTGATTTCAATCTTGCAACTGAGAACTCTGAAAGTACACATGTGCAAATGTTTTAATCCTTTTTTAAAAAAAAATCCAGAATTTTATTGAACATGACAAAGGAGGGTAGAATAGTTAATTTACATATTACGTGCAGAGGAAGGATTTTCTCTCTAATAACCTGTTCAATTTTCTGTTTAGTTCAGAGAAAAGATGAGGCATTTTATACCTCTTTGATCAGCCTGTTTAGTTGTATTTCTGTAATTCCTGGTTGCTAAATCAGTGCTTAAATATGAATCTGGCTTGATTAGCCAGATTGGAAATTAGAAATTATCAAAATAAACTGTTAAGCAACTTTCTAATGTGCTGAAAATCCGAAGAAATTTAGAAACCAAAAAATAAATATTAATGCATACTTACATTCTGAATAAATATGTTCATATATTTTTATTTATATAGTTTATTACTCTGGGTCCAGATATGATGGAATAAAGCTTGCTTACAAATGTAAAGCAACAAGGAAATTCTGAAATCACAACTGTAAATAATGAAAGGTGTATTTCTGATAAATGTGTTCAAATT